AATATGAAATACTTTTAGTATTATAATAATAAAAACTACATCTCATATCAATTTAATTTTCAATCATTCAATATTTGAAAATCACTTGGACCAGGATTAAGTTTACTTGCAAAGTAAAAACCATCTGATTGTACTTCTCAATAACATATATTCACTCTATCATCAGCATCTCCACATATATTTTAGCAACATCTCTACTAAAAACGGGAAACCTTGCTTCTTTGTCATTCCAACAAAAGTGACAAGTGGTTAATCTTATGAAATCTTCTATATATTATATCAAAGCAAAATAAGTTTGTGGAAAAAAAAGTACACGCAAGATTGTCGCCTGAGGATGCCTGTTTAGCAAGATTGTCGGCCACCGAATTTATATCTCTAAACACATGTACAATCTTATAGCATCTCTTTTGAATGATATGATGAATTTTAAGCAACTCAAAATGCGTTTTCCATGAAAATGGACCACCATTATTTAGCATATTAGCAAGCAACAACCTATCCATTTAAATCTCTACTTCAAGTAAATTAAGAAGATCACATTTTCTTAGCCAAAGAGTAAAACACATACCTCAGCTGCAAAACTATCTCTTTCACCAAAATAACCCGCTTCTGCATAGAGAAAAACACCATGCTCCCCTCTAATAAAAAATCCATAACCAGCATCCAAGGTTTCATTGATGGAGGAACCATCAGTGTTGAGCACAAAAGAGTCTCGCTTCGGTTGCCGCCATTTAACTACTAAACTTTGTCTTTTCTTCCTTTCGGTACTTGTAACTCGGAGATGCTTTCTATTTGCACCCACTCCTGTTGATTTTTGTCTTTTAAATCATGTATAACCAACATGGATCGCAAATGATCAAAGACTTGTCCACAAACTTGCTGAATTGGCATAAGAGTATTGTCATAAATAGCTTTGTTCCGCCGTTTCCAAATTTCCCACAAAATGAAGAATGAAGCTGCCATTTTGACAACACTTTTTGCATTTTTGAAACCTCCTGATGACCACCAAGTTTGCACCATATGCCACAAGGTCTGGATTTGAGCTAGAGGAATATCCAATAACAGTTCGAAATGCGACCAAATTCGTTGTGCCTCCCTACATTGTAGGAAAAGATGCTCAAGGGTTTCTTCCTCATTGCGACAAAGCAAGCAGATCGACGGCCTGCTTTGAAATCCTAGATGACATATTACAAATTATTGATAATGCATTTATTGATTGATTTAAAGTAAACTTGTTAGGACTGCTATTTAAACTCCAACCCTATATACACCCGTCCACAATATCGTTTTTCTCATTCTCTGCTTAATATAGGTTTGAATTATGTGCTTTCAAATTTATTACATTTTTTGTGCCCTCTCTGTTTCAATTTTGCTTTTAAAATATTCTTTTTGATCTTGGTTGAAGGAGATAAAAATGACCTTGATGCTTTTGTTTATTTCGTGTAAATTTTTCCAAAACATGGTTTGTAAAATCTAATTTGCAAGTTATGTTCACTTGTGTAAATTATCTCAAAATATGGCCTGCAAAATATAATTTGTAAGTTATGTTTATATTGTATAAATTCTTCTAAAACGTGGCTTGCAAAATCTAATTTGCAGGTTATGTTCACTAATGTAAATTATCTCAAAACATGGTTTGCAAAATATGATTTGTAAGTTATGTTTATATTGTATGAAAACTCTCAAAACGTGGCTTGTAAAATCTAATTTGTAGGTTATGTTCACTTTTTTTAACATAACCAAGGGCGGAGCTACATACAGAGTTACTAGGGCAATTGCTCCAGCTGAAAAAAAATGGTTATTACCCCTTAATATTTTAGGATTTTTCCTTTAGAAAAATAAATTTTGCCCCACCTAAATTAACAATATTAAAGGTGTAACTGTATATACTAAATTAACAATATTAAAATCTTGTCCCATCACTTCTTCAAGGCTTAGCTCCGCCCCTGAACTAAACCCTAACCATATCTCAATACATGGTTTGCTAGACAATAGCAAATTATGTTCATATGATGTATCATTTTTACAATTACTTTTAATTTTTATTTTTTTATGAAGTACACTTTTAACTATAGTTACATACATGGCTTCTAAAAACTATTTTTTAAAAAAAACAAATAGCGAGGTTAGGGCAATATTCAGGTCCTAACTGTCCCAAAAATACTCAAGGGGTATACCCAAGAGATATATTTTGAGACAGCCAGTACTAGATAGTATAATGCACCAAAGGGGTATACCTAAGGGATGTACATATATACAACCTAGTTCCCTAGCTTCACCCCTCCTGGATACAATCTAGTTTCCTTAGACTTATACATCAAGCATATCTTGCTCTAACATAAGGAACGGATAATTGATCTAAGATCAATAATGCTTTTACATCTCTAGCTAAAGAAGCTAAACTAGAATACATTTTTGAAGCGCCAGAAGATGCACTTTTAGCTAAACTATCTGCTATTGAATTTGCCTCTCTATAAATATGCAAAATCCGATAATCATTCTTTTGAATAATAAAAGACATTTCCTGCAAATGCAAGTAATATTCCCATGGGAAACCTGAACCACGAGCCAAGACATCCGCTAATGCCTTGTTATCTGTCTGAAGGGTAACATTTGGAAGGCTCAAAAGATCACACTTCCGCAAGCCAAAAAGTGCACCCAAAACTTCACTTTAAAGCTATCACCCCCTCTTAAATAGCCATTCTCACCATACACAAGAAGACCTCATTCCTCACGAACCATAAATCCATAGCCTGATTCATCATTACTCAAAGAGCCATCAGTATTCAAAATGAAGGAGATGGGCGACGGTGAGACCAAACAACCTTCAAGAATCGTGGCCGAATCATACAATTTAGGTTAATACCAAAATTTGCCATAATGAAACCTCTTTCCTCATTGGAAATCTTCAAATCATAAATAGATAGAAGACATCGAGCTTGCTCCATTGTAACACGGATTAGACCCTACACATTTGGGTATTTTCCCTCAAAGATGGACTTGTTTCGGGCTTCCAAATCTCCCACAGAATGATTGTTGGAATGATTCCGAAGGCCACCACTTGCCATTTTAAAATCACCTTTCCTCCACCACCTTTGCAACATTGATACAAGTGAATAGTCCCCAAAACATTGATCTGCATAATGACCGCAAAATGAAACCAAAGTTGCCTAGCCATTATGCAACCAAAGAAACAGTGATCAATTCCATCATTTCCAGCCATACACAAACTGCATATTGATGGAGAAGCATGTATCCCCATTCGGCTTAAAACATCAGGAACTGGCAATAACCTATTACGTAGCCTCCATATAAAAATGGAAACCCTTATTGGAATAATAGAACTCCATACATTCCTCGCGCAACCTTCCTTTGATTTCTTGCACCTCAATGCTTCAAAGGCTTATTTAACCGTGAATTCTCCATGAGAAGTTGGTTGCCAAAAAACTATATCATCATCATTCTGAAAATCATGACAAAACTCCACAAGAAAGGCAACAACATGTTGAGGAAGAATATCCTCAAATTCATCAAGAAAATGCTGTTTATTAAAAAAGAACTCCTTTATACTCAAATCTGGATTTGGCGGATCATCTTGGCTAACATCCCATAATACTCCATAAGGTGACCAATCAAACCAAAAGGAACGATTTCCCCCTCGCACAAGTACTTTGGTATGTTGTACCGCGCGCTGCTCAATGCCTTTAACGCGACTCCATGATGTTTTCCTCTTCGAAGAGCATGACAAAGGGTCCAAAAAATTACACCATATTCCCTTTTTCTGCTTCCATTTCTACTGTAGTTTAAATGTTAAAGCATCAATATTCTCATGGAAGCTCCGTATCCCCAAACCATTTTCCAAAACAGGAAGAGTAACTCGTTCCCAAGACCTCCAATGCCGTTTACTTTCATCCGCGACTCCACACCATAAAAATCTTTGACATTTACTTTCCATTTTCTGAATAATGGACTTTGGAGGAGGTATAGCCGAGAATATATGAATCGGGATTGAAGACAAAACATGCTTAATGAGAATAAGCCGGCCTCCCATACTTAGTAGCTTGTTTTTCCAACTCAAGAGCTTGCAATCCAACTTGTCCAATAAGAATTGAAAAGTGGAGGCTTTGCGTCTTCCTTGATAAATATGACATCCAAGATAAGTTAAAGGAAAGCTACCCTTATCAATACCAAGGACACCTAGAATGATCGCAACCCTTCTTGCTGTACACTTCTCAGAAACCATAAAAGCACTTTTTTGACTATTTATTTTCTGGCCAGAAGCTTTCTCATAGCCAAGAAAAAACCCATTAAGCTCTTGCAAAGACCTTTTCAATCCCCTTGAGAAGATAATTAAATCATCAGCAAAGGCAAGATGAGAGATAATCATTGATCTTGAAGGAGTTTTGTAACCAGCAACCTTTCCAGAAGCATCTAAAGCTTTAAGTTTCCTAGTCATAGCTTCAGAAACCAAAATGAATAAATGCGGGGACAATGGATCCCCCTGCTTAATGCTTCGAGTAGACTGAAAGAAGCCAACTGGGGACCCATTTATCATGACTGAGAACCAGCTATTTCTCAAATTATTCATTATAAAGAGAACAAAGGTTGATGGGAACCCAAACTTGAGCAATACCTTTTCCAAGAAACTCCACTTCACACGATCAAAGGCATTCATCATGTCTAACTTCAAAACAAAGTTCTCCCCTTCAGCCTTCTCATCAAGAAATTGACAAAGGTCTTGAATGAGCAAGACATTGTCAATGATATCCCTCCCTTCTAGAAACGCTGACTGCTCTTCCGATATAAGCTTTGGCAACACAACTTTCAGCCTCTCCGTAAGAACCTTTGTAAACAATTTATTCAGGAAATTGCAAAGGCTATATTCTAAGAAAGTATTCACCATATTCTTCTTCGGGATCAAAGTAATCAAAGTACTCGATATCTAGGAATTGGAATACCATGCATAAACGCCTTACAAGCAGCCCATAAATCTTGTGAAATTATGTCCAATCAGATCTATAGAAAACTCCTCCATAACCATCAATTCTGAGTGCACTTTCTTCACCTAAATTGAACACCGCCTCCTTAATCTCTTCTAATGTAATTGGCTTGGACAACAACCAAGTATCATCTTGAGTGAGTGTTAAGGGAATATGTTCAAGAAAATCTTCTTGTGTAGCATCGCAACCTTGGTCATCACTCGGGTCATTTAAAAGATCTTTAAAGAACCTCACCGCCTCTTGTTCAATTCCATCCCTAGAAGTCAACATAGAACCATCCGGCGCTTGAATTTTAAAGAGGCTTTGCCTTACTCTTCGTTCCTTTAAAACAGCATGGAAAGATTTGGAATTAGTATCACCCTCTTTCATCCATTTTAGCTTCATCTTCTAAGACCAGAAATCATCATGTTCCTTCAACTTGTGCAGCAACTTGGCCTTAGCCAAATGAAGATTGATTCTTGGTCCGCCCCAGAGATATCAAATAAACCCTCAAGATGTTGGACATTATCTTCTGCTTCTCTCAAATTTTGGAAAACATCTCAAAATACCTCCTTATTCCACACTTTCAACTTCATTTTCAAACATTGGAGTTTTAAAGAAAACATTAGCATGCCTTGTTGCTCCATTGGTTGATCCCAGCGATCTTTGACCAAATCTTTAAACTCCTCCCGTCATAACCACATTTTTTGAAATCTAAAAACCCTCGGTTTGATTTCTTCATGTGCAGCAAAGAGATGCAATAATGGGATGTGATCGGAAGTGGTCCTATTTAGGTTTTCCACAGATGAATTTGGGAAAAAATCATGCCATTCTCGAGAGATCAAAACTCTATCAAGCTTCTTACTAACCCATCCAGTAGACCTTGTTCCTCCCCAAGTAAAATCCTCACCCGTAGCTGGAATTTCAATCAAATCGCAATCATAGATGCATTCATTAAACTCCCACATTGCCCCATGATCCTGAACTGAAACCCCCGAATATTCTTCCAACGAACGAATCACATTGAATTCTCCAGCTACCATCCATGGGGAACATGAAGTTTGGTGTCTAAAATCTATCGAATTCCTCCATAAAGATTGTCGTGCAACCCTAGTTGTCTTAGCATAAACTGTTGAAAAATAAAATTTAGTGGAAACCGAGACATGCGAAACCTCGCGGTGTAGCACTTGTTCGTTGTCATCAACCACAGTTGTTGTGAACTCTCTCTGACAGAAGACCCAAATCTTGCTAAAACATGATGAAAAAGCCTGATTGAAGTTAAGCTCCCGCCTTATACCTTCAAGTTGGATGCAATCAATCATTGGTTCCAAGATAATAAGAATAGAAATTTTATGCATTTTTAACAAAGATATCAAGCGTCGCTAAGATGCTTGATTTTTTATTCCTCTAATATTCCAAATTAATTGACTAATCATGGAAAACTATTAAGGAAAAAGAACAGCTGAAACTTATCCTCGAAGACGTGGTGATCTTCTTGGGATCACCCCTTCTTGCATCAATTCCCGTTCAACTTTGGATTTACGACCATGCTTCTTAAGTACAGATTCCTCCCCTTGCACTGAATCTTCTACTCTTGCATCATCATTATCTCCATCAAACCAAACATTGCGAGCACTTTCTTCAATCTCCTTAGGCCCCGAAGATTTGCCAATTTCACCATCATCCGTAGATCGACCAACTTCCAAAATATCCCCACTTCCCAGCTGTTGTATAGTCATCTGAGCCTCTTCAAAGGGTTGTGAAGCATCAGCAGGCTTGGAACGCTCCAAAGGATCCAACCCGAGAGTCAGATCCTTAATAAACACATCCTCAACATGATCTTCTCCCGCATCGTCAACATTTTCATTTTCAGACTCATCAATTGTCTCCAGCACAGCAAAGTGATTTGAAACCGCCGATGGTGGAGATACTTCATCAGGAAAGTCCACCGGAATGACGAGTTTCTCCATAGCTGATAATCCCGACGTCGATTCACCTAGTCGCACAACTGGGGTTTCCGCATGGGCGCCCGCAGCTAGGGTTTTCGCAGGGTGGTGAGGAACTAGGGTTTTCGCAGCTTGGCTTGGGACCGACTCGCTCTTTTGCATTCTCAGATATTGCGATTCCACACCCTTTAAAGGGTTTGATTGGAGAATTTGCACATCAAAGCCAGACTTGTCTACATCCTCTCGCATCTTTAAGGCCTGCTTAACACCTTTGCTTTTGATCACCGGAATTGCATCTTTCCTTGAGCTTTCTTTCTGCAGATGAGGCTTCCCTATGCGACAGTCCTCTTCCTTATGGCCTATTTTACAACACTTAGAACAATATGAAGGAATGTGTTCATAAGTGAATTGTTGCTCATGTTTCTTCCCTTTTTTAACAATTTTCACAGATCTTGGGAAGTCTTTGGTGAGGTCAACTTCTACACAGAGTCTAGCTACCGATGGCCGCAACATGTTAAGCGTCAGAGTATCAACCTTCAGAGACTTCCCTATGGCCCTTGCAATTGAGTAAAGCCCCTCCGGATGCATATACTCCACCGGAAGGTCACATAGCGACACCCAAATAGGGGCTTTCATAGGGTCTTCTTCAAACCAGAATCCCGGCTTCCACTTTAGGATGCGCATGAAATAATCTGAAATATTCCAAAAGGTTCGAATCCAACAACGTTGATAATCATCTTCATTGTCAAATCGAATCAATATATGCCTAGGGTTTAACAAACCCACCGTGAAACTTCCATTAAACCCAATCTTTTTGAACTCCTTTTGAATTTCTTCCATTTTCAGTCTCCCATAAGAAAACTTTCCAACAAGACTAAGACGGTGAGGCTCAATTTATCGATCAAATTCATCATCTTCAAACTTAAGAACCGGGGAGCCATTGATGTATTTGACTTCCTTAATCAAAGAATTTTATTGAGGTTTAGGATCTGGAGGTTTGGCAAAGAGGCTTGAAAATGAGAGTGGAGGTTTTGGTGCCTCCAAAGGTGGATCGCCGGCCATGATGGTCACCGCATATGAATGGCTGTCGTTAGGGTGGGAGGCACGTGAAAATTAGCTGTATTGAATTGACCTTTTTCTTTTATCCAATATGCTAAAAAAATTGGCTTCTAAAAACTAATTTGAAAGTTGTGTTAAGTATTTGAAATTCCTAAAACATGACTTGCAAAAACAGATTTGCAAGTTGTGTTCACTTTTTCGAATTATCCAACAATATGTTTTGCAAAATCTAATTTACAAGTTATATATGATTAGTTTCTCCAAATCTTTCAAAACATACAAGTATTGTTTCTATTACTATTATGCAAGTCATATTAGAATTCAAAAATAACATATTTGTTTTTTTTCTTTAAAGCAAACTGCGTTTTGGAACCATTTCCTTCACCCAAAACATGGTTTGAAAAATTAATTTGCAAGTTATACTCTCTTTTGTAAGTATTTTCAAAACATGGCTTGCAAAATCTAATTTGCAAATTATGATATTTTTTGTAACTTTTCCCAAAACATGTTTTGCAAAATTCAATTTGCAAATTATGTTCACTTTTTAAACATTTATCAAAACATATCTCGCAAAATTAGATTTGCAAGCTATAATCTCTTTTGTAAGTTTTTCCAAAAAATGATTTGCAAAATCCAATTTAAAGATTTTATGTAGAAAAGGGGGGAGGGGGGGAGGAAATCAAAACAAAATCCATTTCGTTAAACCATCTTCTTTAATACATTTTCATCCTCTCTTTTTTACTCTATTTTTCTCATTCACTTATAAATAAATATGTCCGGACAACGATCCGGGTCAAGAACCTGGTTCATTTTGAAACTCCAAATGTCAATCTTCTTGCACGTTGTGTATTTTTTTTTTTTTTCCCCGAAATCATTATTCTTAGAATCAATGGGTGTGCGCTTGTAACATAACAAGTAAACAACCACATGAACCTCATACTTCGGATTCGGAAAGAATAATGCTGATTCATTCAAGGCAAACTAGAATGAAAATAAACAAAAATCAAGAAATTCTTCTTTTTTTTTCTTTCCAATCAAGAAATTTTGTGACTACACTTAAATATTTAAATACTTAATTAATCTTCGTTTGCTAATTTTTTTAATTGGTTATCTAATTTTACACTACAATTCTCAAAAATATTTTGTTTTAATATATAAGATAATCTTTTAGTAACCAAATTATTTTTATTATTATTATTACTATTATTATTACTATTATTATTGGTTATCACCAAATTATTTTTTCAAATATGCGGAAAATGGTATGACCACGTAATAAGTTTAAAATTTTTTTGAAATGAATGAACCAAATTGGTCAGTGTTTTCTCGTTTTGGAAACATTACATTCCTGCGGTCCGCCGCGAAATTTCGCCGACGTCCGCCGTCATTTAAGGTTGACGGAAATGGAGCTCCGCCTTCGCCCCCGCCCCCACCTCCACCATCCGTTAACATTTTCGCCAATGACGGGGTCCAGTCGATGCAATTTTCTGAGGACCGGCAACTTCAATCAAGCACAAAAATTGTCCCGAAAATCGCGAACTCCTCAGTTTTTGCGATTCAAAGCTTCATGGCAAGAGGTAAGCCGGCCGGCGGCCGGTAATGATTTCATTTCTATGTCTTTATTCTTTCGATTGTAACAGTTATAGCAGCTGATGAAAAGCTAAACTATATAGCTAGCTGGAGTTCTGATATTCTCTGCGGTTCCATTCACGGCGGTTAAAGCTATAGCCAACAGCTCGGTTGGGGAGTCGCTCCGGCGACAATTGACGGAAAGGAAGAAGGTTGAGCTCCTCAAATCTTCCAAACGTAAACAGCTCTCGCATCTGGCTAAAAAGGACAGGTAACTGACACAACAAAGCGTTCAATAAATCATTTTAATTATAGTTCTTTTCTGAAACATTGTCGACACCATTTTTGAACACGCGAAGGCTCAGTACTCGGTAGGGTTTTGGTATAAATATATCTCAGGAGTTAATTTCATCTAGTTTTCTTATTTTATGTTTGGAACTACCAAACTCCTTTGACCCATTGGCTAGTAAAGAAGTCAATTGTTGGAACATTTTAAGACTTAAAAACCAATTATTAATTCTACCTTTTAATTGTTATTGTTATTGTTTGCAAACTTCTGCTTGTATGATCAATTTTTGTTTTCCATTGCTAAATAGTGGCAGTTTTCTTGCTCGGACCCTGTATTTGGTTGGTCCTGCAAATTTCATTTAAAAGTGGATTATATGTGTATCACAGTGAAGTATTCTTTATCACATCCATACGCTTTTACGAAACTCACTTTTGATACAAAAGCCTGTTAAATGCAGAATGTTGCGTCGACATTAAAATGCTAACTGGGCATGAGGTGCCAATCTAAAGTATATGAATCGAATAAGTAAGAATAATATCGGTCTGTTTTGAATTTTGTTTTAATTAATTGCATCAAGTATTCATAACTCAGTACTTAGGACAGTTTGCTTGCACCATGAGTTTTGGCCCATTGTAAGTTTATGCCTGCACTTTGCAGCATGTGGTATGGTGAAGATCGTCCACGATGGCTAGGTCCTATTCCATTTGACTATCCTGCCTATCTCACTGGAGAGCTGCCAGGGGATTATGGCTTCGACATTGTTGGCCTCGGCAAGGATCCTGCTGCTTTCAGCAAGTACTTCAAGTATGAATTTCACACATTTTTTTCCCCATTTATTTAGCTGACAACAGGACGCAATTCATTGTTGCGCTATCATATTACGTAATTGCCAATGTGTTCTTTTTGTCTTTGAACTCATCATCTCTTAGGAGTTTCAACATGAATTTCCTGACCCCTACTACTTGGACCTCTATTTTACCCTAACCTAGCTTATTTTGCATTTACCTGTGGAAAAAGATGTGTTTGAGCTTTAGCATCCTTATGCTTTTCCAGCTTTGAAGTGCTTCATGCTCGGTGGGCTATGCTTGCTGCCCTTGGTGCTTTGATTCCTGAAGTTTTAGAGCTCTCAGGAACATTTCATTTTGCTGAACCTGTCTGGTGGCGTGTTGGCTATTCGAAGCTCCAGGTTAGTGACTGTTGTTTGATTGACAAGCTAGCTAAATTATTCCAAATTTGGAAGTTTCTTCATCTATCAAATTTCCAAAATCTTAATCTTTGCAAATCAAAGGTGTTCCTTTCACTTACCACCAGATGCTGATCCTTAATTTCCTTCCATGTTTGGATCTGTACTATGTGCCATAAAACTGGGTTCATTACTATCTTAGTTGTCCGCAAGATTCTTACATTGCATTTAATTCCTTGTGAGTGGAAACATTTCAATATTGAGTTAACATACCCCTAAAAAGTATGCTTGTAATTAAGAACATTACGATTTTGGTTGAATGGAAAGTTTTCGAATTGATTGCCTAGTCGTTTGCTTCAGACCAAGTTTTCTGGAACTTAATGGCTATTTGGAGAACATTAAAAAAAACAAAAAAAACAAAAAAAAAAATCCCTTTCATATGTATGAAATGTTACATGCATTTTCATTTTGGAGTTGTTTGTGGCAATTTGCTATTTCAGATACTCGTACAAGATGCTGGAAGTGGTTGCTTCTGAATGCTCATAATTTTTTGTGGCGTAATATTTGTGCAGGGTTTTATTCTGTGAACAACTTGTGCATTGCTGTAGCATAGTTACTTTCTAGAAGCTCATATAATTGGATATGTTTGTAATTGCTCTGAACTCCTTGAGAAACATATCCTAAAGGATAGTACCTGAATATATCTTTGAAATTCCAATTCTTGGCTATATTTGGTTGCTTATGCAGTGATGAGCAGTGCTGAACCTTTTAAGTTAGTGACTTGAGTTCTTTTGTTGAACGTATTTTAGGGAGATACATTGGACTACCTTGGGATACCTGGTCTCCACTTTGCTGGAAGTCAAGGAGTGATTATTATAGCCATCTGTCAGGTTCTTCTAATGGTAACTGCTGCTCTTTTGGTGGTCATGCGTTGAGGATTATATTGCATTTTCATGTTCCAAATAGCTTAAGTTTGTAAAATGGTAGTTAGAAATCTCAAATATGAAGCATCATAATTGAAAAATTTCTCTTATACCCATTCTGGAGAAACCCCGTAGAACTATCTAAAACTAGGTGTGCTGTGTGCAAGCTTTAATTTGTCTCATTGGCAGGATAAGATCATTCCACTTCTTTTGCATGGCTGGATTTCCAAGTTGTCTGCTATTTCTGGATTGATACTTAAAGAATCTTCTGGTTGTTTTCTCTCCCTTTTAACAACTTACCCATTTCTGAAGTCATAGTTGACATACTTGAAATTGGGTGATGGTATTAGATTCTGGCGAAATCTGTCAGATGCCATCAGTCTCTGAAGCAGTTCCATCAGAGTTTGCACTTCTATATCTAGATACTATACTCTCCTTAAAGAAATTTTGTATAGCATGGAATTTTGGAACAAGAAAGTTATAGAATCTGGTAAAAGCTAGTTACTGCATGTTGAACACCCTCAATTATGGAGCTTTGTGTGTCAAGATAGGGTATAAAAATATGTTTTTTGGGCCAATTTTGCCATAGAATTTGCATGTAAATGTTTTTCTCGTTGGTGCAGATTATCTGAAGCATCTATCCTCTCCTGATTAGTCTTGATAAGTTTATGCATAGGTTTATGAACAGTTGATTGCTAGCAAACATCTCGGAATATCGATTGCATGGACTCCATTTTTCTTTTTTTAATCTAAACCACTTGGCATTTTTCATTGGGCATGCTGTATAGGTGGGGCCAGAATACGCAAGATATTGTGGAATTGAAGCATTGGAGCCTTTAGGAATTTATTTACCTGGTGATGTTAATTATCCTGGAGGCGTACTTTTTGATCCATTGAATCTTTCTGAAGACGCTGTAGCTTTTGAGGAACTAAAAGTAAAAGAGATAAAAAATGGCCGCTTAGCAATGGTTGCATGGCTGGGGTTTTATATCCAAGCTGCCGTGACAGGTAAAGGTCCTGTACAGAACCTGCTCGACCACATATCAGATCCAGTTCACAATAATCTCGTATCCCATCTGACCTCTGTGTAATTTAGTTAAGTCTACTTTGCACTAGTGAACTTGAATTGCTTACTTTGTACATTATACTTGTAGAGGCATGGCTGTAAATATAAAGCCTAAGCTACTTTCTGCTGTTCCAATCTGCTTGCTACATTTCTCCTGTTAATCTTGGTAGTTGGATGAGATGCATCAGTGGACATTATATTATGTATCAGCAAGAATCCTACTATCCGAATCACTCATCATTTGAATGTAAAAGAGGAGAAATGTATTATAAGGATAATCGTCAGATTCTTTGGTATATGGCATGTATAGAAGATGCAATAAATGTCATTGGATCATTGCTATGTCATATTGTATAACTGCATTATGTGCTCTCGTTTTCTACTTGGCCGTGCCAATAACAGCCAGATAACAGCGATTGTTGATCCGGAAAATGGAGAGGTTTGATGGTACTGCTAATATAAACCTGTGGTTCTTTGAATCATAGTTATATATTTTCAGTTCAAGCTCTATTGTGCATGATTTTGGTCTCTAAGAGTTGGTCCTATAGTAACAGTAGAGAAAGATTGCAGCTATGAATAGATTGTGCTTTGATTTAGTTATGGATGAGCTTATAGAGTTTCCTTTTATGTCTATCTACCAAGGGGTCAGAAATATAGGGTTTGATCTCTTCCTGCCTAATTGCTCATGTCAGTTGAAAATTTCCAATAAAATGGAAATCTGGGTTAGGTAGCAGGACTCCTACTTTGACTGCCATGAGCACAAGGCCAAAGCATAGAACATATTGCACTCCTCTCTTGTATTTGTGATAGTTTTATATGGTGCAGTTCTTGGCAAGTCCTTTTTCTGTACTGTTCTAGACCTTGGATTGTTGGTCCAGTGAAGCGTGGTCTTCATTCTCGCTAGCACGAAATGCAGCCCATAAGCCTAGGTTCAACCACAGAAGTCACTTTTTCTGGACACGCTTTTGCTACACTTATAGTTCTCCACTTTACTTTGTTGTTAATTGAGATGTTCGGCAAAGCTTAGTTATGGTGATAAATAATTGAATGATGGATTAGTCAATGCATGCTTGTATAATTAGAGAGATGATGCTTCATCTCGTCTTATAACTAAAATCAGTGTAACATCTATGATGATGGCTAGTATTACAACTAGTACTAAAGATAGCACCACGATTACTTTTTGACTTTGTCAATCGATGTTTGCTGGTTAGGGAAAGGCTATTGGTGTTGGATAATTGGTAATTTGGTACCACATGTGACATTAGTGTGGAATGGGAAATTGGTCCATCCTTACATTTCCCATGCCAAAGCATGGTATTGGGGGTGGGTCAAAATGTTGGTCATGCCAGAATGTTTGATCCATTTTCAGTGGCAAAGGTGTGGAGGGGATATAATTAGACACCATATCAGATGGGGTTTCTTGGTACTTTGTAGGTTTTCCAAGATAAGGACAGTTGTATCAAAGACTGATACGCGTACTTCTTTGTTATTTGCTTAATGAGTTTTTGGACTTGTCCTTTGATGGATGGGATTGTTGGGAACTTTAGGGAAATAAGGAGAGGTAGTCATATGTGACACGTTACTTAGAATCTAGTAGTATTTTGTTTACAAAATAATGCAACACAAACATGACTTCTTTGTTTTACGTATTTAATACAAATATGTCACACAAAGTGAAATGTGTGAACCATAATGGGTTTAGCATATCATTAAATTGCAAATTCTGTTTTTATTTTCTGTGTTTCTACCATTGAAAGTTGTTAGCCTAGTGAAGCTAGATTGTTCAAACTGGAGGCTGTAATACTTGTAGGAGATCCAGCTCAATTTGGCTCAGCTTTTTGGATCACCTAAATTGAGGGATAGTTCAGATTTTTTCCAGTACAATGAAGAAGGAAGATTTAAATTACGACAATCTGTATTAAGAAATCACAGTTATATTATATGCTGTGTTTCGGTCATGGTCGATCACTATCTTTATTGACTTGATTTTGATATGTTATGCACGCTATCATTTGTTGTGAAGTGGAGAAAACAACGAAAAATAGAAGGAGAGTTTGTTGCGGTTTAATTAATTAAGCTTTGATTATAACAGCTGGTAAATGAGACTTTTGATTTGTTTGCATCTCCATTATTTTAATGGGTTCACATCTCCATCAGTTAATGTTGTTGTCCAATATGGGGCATACCATCTTAGCTGGGCTTGGTAGGAAGAAAAAAGGAAAGGGTTAGAGTGGAGACGCCATTTACAACAGATAGGTAAGGGGACCAAGCATTTTCGAAAAATTGTTAGCATATTAGTACCAACTTGAATCAGATCATAACTTTTGGGATACTTTTTGATGTTATATTTGTGTGATATTTTTATAATCTAAGTACGTCTAACATAAAAACGAGTGATTGAGTACGATAAATTAGCTTTAAAATAAAACGTATAGAATTGTTTTGCCAACTTGAACTTCCTTTTCGTCATTCTTAAAATTAGTTTCGGTTTTCTTTTCTTAAAGATTTATGGGTATGTTGGTATGATTAGAGAAAAGGAAGAAAATACTGCTTTTGTTGGGTTGTTATAAATTATTGTTCCAAAAGTGTTGTGCTCTACGTAATAAAGTGCAATTTTTCTTGGCTGCATGTCTAACAAACATCATATATTTCTTAAAAAGGAGATAATCTCTAGAGTTATATGACGAAATATTACGTTTTTAGATCAACTTTTATCTGTAAGAAAGATTATCGTAATAGTAAAAAAGTATCAAAATAACATCGATTTTCAAGTAGGAAAAAAATACGATAAAAATATAAGAATTATGTACGCATCAACGGCTAATCACTACAAAACTAATACCATACGGATCATGCAACTCAAATTGAGAGTTTTTGGGGTTCTGAAAGAATCAAGTTTGACATCTCAAGCAATGTCATATGTTGTATGAACATGGTACAAATATTAAAGAAAACATATATTTATCAACAAATTTTCAAGAATAGAAGATAATAATATCTATCATATAATAAATTGTGTAAGTGCCAAGGTGGATTCAATGTAATAACTCATTCTTTTCTTACCATGTAGCCCCCCACCCCAAAAAATAATCTCAATAATAAAAGAGACAGTAAGTTAATGATACTTAGTAATTAATATAATGGCCAAATTGCAATTTGCAAAGTTGGCGTGCAAATTATTACGTAATAGAGGCTCAAAGTATGGAAGAGCACGTGACGTGATGCTGACCTCACTCCCGTTTGGTAAAGAAAAGGGCGAGGAAAAGAAAAAACACGGTATCCGTCGGCGGATTACAGAGATTTGAAGACTTTTTCAAAACGTCAAAATCAATCCGTACGTCGGTGGATAGATCCATTTCCAAAAAGAGGTGGGCCCCCGCAAAACCGAATTGCATCATCCCTAAAATCAAAATACAATTTGGCAAAAAAGATAGTTTTTCCTATCTCTATATTTGCTTTCTTTTCCTTTCAGTTTCAAATTCTTCTAATTGTAGTATTTATTTGTGAGATAATTAAACAGAATTACGCGTTGGAGAATTACATGCATATTATTATTCTTAAAAAAGTTATTATATGATAGATGTAGTATATGAAAGTGAAAATAAACATTCCTAAGTCTGTGTTTTACTGGGTTCATTTCAGAACTAAAAAGAAAAAAAAAATGAAATGTGATTTGAGCGGGCCAACAATTTAGAATTCATACAAGTAACTAGTAACAGTTTTATTTAACAATTAATTGGTAAGATGATAGTACTTATGTTTCTATAATTTCTTTTCAAAGACTATATCCTATTATACTGCATTTAATATTTAAAAATCACTCCCTAATGGCTTCATAACCCAAAAAAAAAAAAAAATGAAATAATTCGAACCAGTAAATGAAACCTAATTTGTGTAAACGGATTTAGAAAGTCTAAATGCACGAATATCAATGTTCATACTAATTTTGTTCGAAGTGTAACACATGTTAGTCGTTTTATACAAAAAATATATGTAATTTCACAATATGGTTATTTAAATAACAATGGTGAAATAGTTAAAAAAAAAAAAGGAAAAAAAGATTAGGTCGAAGAAAACCTTAAATGCTAATCTTCTTTCATTACTTCATCATTACCACCATTATAATCACTGTTCAATCCATGTTTAAATGTTTGCTCCTCTTTGCTTCGTAGCAAACAAATAAAGTAACTCGAACGAGCAAACAATTCAATATTTACACAAGCGCATATGGAAAATATGAATGAATATTTGATATTCATAAAAATTTCTTTCGACATGTATCGTAATAACTGTTCGTAGTTATTATTGATCGTGACAGGTATTTTAAACACGTATTGATATGATAAACGAAATAACAAGCTATAGTCGTGATATAGGAAAAAAAAAACCGCGCAATTTTGAAATGTCGTTAACAAGGTAAAAACTATTTAGTGAAAAAGTTAAATTGGAAAAGAGAGGGAAAAATAGAGATAGGTTAAAGATAACCTAATTTAAATCCAATTATACTAATCCTATCTCTGAGTTGTAGTGGAATAATAATTTCTTCTTATACATAAATAAAGTAGGGTTGTTAATATTAGTACTTAGTAGTTAGATAAATATCCATAAACAAAACCCTAATTATCTTTAAGCTTATCTAATATCAACTGCTCACTCCTAATACACAGAAGAAGAAAAAAAATTTAAATTATAGGTAGATAAATATACGTCGAATTCATCTGGAAAAGGAACTATTTTTTAAATTAAATACGTAAAGGAATAGGATCATAATAATAAATATTAATATGAAACATATAAAAATCAGATTTTCATAAGTGATGAGTATGAATTAAACAGCTCTTCTCCTCTCCTACTTCTGATCTCCGATCTCCCTCCTCCCATCCCCGCCATCTGCAGATCCGATCCTGCGCCCCGGCCTTCTTCTGTCGGTCTCTCTCCGCCGGATCGCTCTAGGTACACTTTTCGCCGCCTCATTGTTTTATTCCTGAGACTCTTTCTTTGTCTTTCCAATTTTAGTAATTCTGATGTTATACCGCCTGCATTTACGTTTCTTGACGCTTTTATTCCGTTTGATTACTGGCTGTTGTTTTTTTGTTCGGTTTTGTTTCTGTGAATTGTTTTTGCCATTCAATTGTTTGCAAAGTATGATTTTTTTTTTCCTCTTCTTTTTTTTTTTGACCTTGTGTAGGTGTAGACTGATTGATTGAATGAGTGGTTAATTTGGTGTCTTCGGATCCGTTTGTTTGGTGTGGTTAATAAGGAGGAAAACAGAAATTTTACTAATAAGAGTAGGAAAGAATTATGGGAATGCCAGCTGAATCAGAAGTTTCATCTAATGGTAATGTCTGCGATAATGATAACGATAATCTATCTGCCTCTGGCGCCGTTAAATTGGTATCTTCCGACTGTAAGGGCAACGGTGTGATTATTCAAGGTGGTGATGGTGACGGTGGCGGCGGTGGAGAGGACCACTCAGGAACTGGAAAGCAGGGCGTCAATTTTTCTAGTGATGATACTAATCCCAACTTGAATGTTTTTGTCCCTAGCAACGATGATTCTTCTATTCCTGTTCCAGTTTCTGAGCCTTCCGATGGTAATGACGACAATGGTGACAGTAATGAGGGTCTATCTGAGGATGTGCCCAATGGAAAACACACTGCTACTGAAGTGGATCATGGTTCACCGAGCAAATCTGATGTTGATGGCGATTATGATAGTGTGGATACCTTAAACCGTGATTCCTTGAACAAAGCTGATGATGTAGAGAGTGATAGTTTCCCTGGTGCTGCAACCAAAGTGATTTTAGACAACGGTTCAGTTTCCGGAGAGATGGATTTCAAGTCATCTGCTGCATCTGAGTTGGATGATCAGGAAACTGAGGTTGCACCTTTGGCTTTGGAGTCGGTCACTGAAGGAGTTGACCCTAATGAACCAGGGCAGGAGGAACTTCCGGGCCCTGATGTGGATGTTAATGGAGCCAACAGTCTTGTACTGGATTCAGCAACTGTTTTGTTGGATAATGGTACTGAGTCACTTCATGTCAACCGTGAACCTCAGGAGGATGCCATTTTAGTGTCTTCTATCTGTAGTAAATCATCAGAAGGTGTAGTTGATTCTGAACCTTCTGCTGCAGCATCTGTTGAGGATCATCAAGATTCTGAAGTAGCTGCTGGTTTCTCTTTGGAGTCAGTTGTAGTCAAAGTTGACAGTCATGAACCGGACTTAGCTGCTACTGAGTCTGGTGATGTCCTCCATGAACCTGAGGATGACGTTTCTGTTTTAATCAGTAGTGAGTCTGTAGAAGTTGATGATTTCAGCCAGTCTGCCTCCACCAAACAACAGATCGATGATGCTCATGGTAATCTTCCGGCTGGCACTGTAATGTTTCTTCAAAATGGGACAGTTGAAGATTCTGCAGTTCATCATGTGATTGATCCAGAGCCATCTCCTGCACCTGAACATTATAATCAGAAACCTGAGGATGCAGCTGCAGATTTGGAGTCAGATGTACATTCTGTGGTTTTGTTAGATACCACAAGATCTGCGGATGAGCCTCAGGAAGAGATTTCAGTTATGTTCACTAATAAATGTTTAGAAGCTGATGCCAGCCAGTCTGCCATCACCATCCAACAGAATGCGGGTACTGATGATCGTACTGCTGGGACCCAAGTGATTCTGCAAAATGGAGAAGCTGAAGAATCTGTAGTTTGCAAGCTTGTTCACCATGAGATTGGTTCAGAGGCCTCTCCACCACCCGGACATGATGGTCAGGAATCCGAGGTTCCAGCTTCACTTTTGGAATCAGATGTAGATATAGTGCATAGTCACAAACCAGAATTGGCAGTTGATAAGTTGCAGGAAGACAATATACTTCCAATCAGTAGTAAATCGTCAGAAGCTGATGTCAGCCAGTCCACTACTGCCGAACATAATTTAAAGTCTTTTAATAATGAGTTAGTTGGACCGCAAGAATCTGATGCTACTTGCTCTGATCCTCAGCAGGCTGAGGTTCAGCTTGACACAGAGCTAGTTACTCTGGCGGAGCAAGCAAAACCTGAAGTACTGGACCAGTTACAATCCTCTCCTGTTGATATTAGTGAGACAAGTACTGAGCTTCCATCAGGACCACAGCAACACCAGCAAACTTTTGATGCAATTGTTGAAAGTGTTCCCTCTGGTCTGGATAAGGAGAATGAGGCTGAACAATCTAAATACGAAGTTGATTTGACTTCTTCAACAGAGACGACCATTGGGACTGTTCCAAGTCATACCGAAGACCATTTATCTGTTCCTCCTTCTAGTGGTGGTTCTCAAGATGTCAACGAAATGAACGAACTGGATGAGTCTTCTGCTTCTGGTTACGGCTTATCTTCATCGCCAATTTCTAGGGATGACAAAGTTCAACATGAGATTAATGTTGATGCGGCACGCTATCCTGACATTGAAGTTCCTGATGAAATCTCGGTTAAGCTTCCGGAGATTGCTAGGGAACATGAAACTGCACTTGAGGCTGTGATCTCAGCTGAAAGTAATGTAATTAATACAGACGAAGTTACTGAATCAGCGACTGATCTTGGGAGTGAAATTAGTAAAATCCCTGAAGGTGGCATATCCTGTCCTGCTACAGATGAAAGGTCGGCAGATATTGTGACATCAAAAGATGTTAGTGATGAAAAGTTTGTTCACAGTATGCATGCATGCTCTGCTGATATCACAACCCCCATAACTGAATTTGAGCTTGGAATCACTGACTCTAGGGGAAAAGTGTCGATTCATCATGTTGACGATGCATCTGACGCACCCAAAGTTGTGATTTTGCATGAGCCCACAGCTACTCATTCTGTGCCATCTCATGCCGAAGGAAGACCTGCAGTTGACGAAATGAACTCTGCTACTATGGATAGTGAAGATTGTGCTCTTGCTTGCAAACCAGAGGTATCCGATAATTCCATCGCTGCTGATGAAAATACTCCAAACTCAATTCTCAAGATAAAGGATGGTGAACAGGAGGGACATCAACTGCCAGAAAGTGATATTCAAAATGATGACAAGCTAATAGGCCAAGAGAGTGAGAGTGTGGAGAAATCCCACAGCGATGAGACATCTATGCGCTTGCTTGATAGTTCTACCGGTGATGCTTTAGCAGGACAGGATGCATCTGTTGGGCTCTTGACAAGGCCATTCCAGTTCTTGATTAAAATACCAAGATTCGACGATTCCAACATTAGAGAACAGATCAAGCATGCTCAATTACAGGTTGATGAGAAGACAAAGATTAGGGATGATTTTCGTCAAGAAATACAGAAGCTTAAAGTAAGATAACCTGCAATGCATAATCCTGTTCTTTGCTTCTTTTCCTGCAATGGATAATCCTGTTCTTTGCTTCTTCTTTTCCCTAGTGTTAGCCTGCTGAAACTAACTTTCCTTTAAAATGTTGCTATGATAGGAAAACTGCTATGACTATTCTGCTGAACGTGAGGCTGCATGGTCCGATGCAAGGTCCTCCAAACGATCACTGAAGGCTAAGCGTGTAGAGATAGATTCTCTCCAGGTTGTGATTAATAAAGTGAAGAATGCAATTTCTGTTGAAGATATTGATGCGCGGGTATGCATTTTCTCTATTCTGATTTTTCTTATAAATGTATGCTCAATACGTTTCAAATCATGATCACCGATAATAAGCATTTTAGGATCCGTACAAGTTATCAGTTCTTGCACATTTTTGTTAAACTTCTAACCTTAATCATGCAGATCTACCATATGGAACATATGATTCAACATGAAACTCTACCTCTGAAGGAGGAAAAGCAATATATTCGTGAAATCAAGCTATTAAAACAGCACCGTGAGCAATTATCTTCCAGCATTGGCAACCAGGATGAAGTCCAACAGGCCTTGAACGAGAGAGGAGAAATTGAAGAGCGTTTGAAGGTCCTGTCCTTTCTCTCTCTCTTTTTTTTTTTTTTTCTGGGTTTGGTTTTTGTAAATTTTCAGTTTTGATTGGGATATCTGGAGCCTTTTCGGGAGTATCTTTCTTTATAAAACCATGTTAAAACTTTCTTTATTTTTATATGTCGTTGGGTGGCGTCTAGACTGTGGAGAGGGGTATATTAGTGCTAAGTATGTTTCCCTTCATTTCCTTTGGAGTACTGAGGGGATGTTCTTGTTTCAGATATTGAGAAAGGAACTGGAGCATCTGAAAGATGAGGTCTTCAAAAAGGACGCGATTGCCCGAGCGGCAGAGAAAAAGTTTGAAAATGAGAATACGAAGTTCAAGGAACTCAGAGCTCAGTTTGAACAAGCCAATGATACTCGCCAGTTAGCTTGGCAGCATTTACAAAGTTTGAGAAAAGACTTGTATGATAAAGTATGTTCTTGTGTGACTATTTGAAGGGCTGAGTTTGTTAAAATTGATGCACATTTACACCTGAAACATTTGTTCATGCTAATTCAGAAATCTGCTCGTTTGTCGCTTAAAAATATTTCTTTAGCATGACTAATTCTATATTGCTCAAAAACTGCAGAATAAACTATTTCGTACATATAAGGACAATGCAGCGGCAGCAAGTGATTTTGCAGCGACAAGAGACACAGAAGCATTGCATCGTCTCTGTCATAATCAGGTTTGTTTTACACCTCTGAATTTTCTTCGATCTTTTTTCCTCCCGCTAATCTCAGAATTGTTCACTCAATATAATCATTTGTCATCCAGGTGGAGACTATCATGGATTTGTGGAACAAGGATGATGAATTCCGTAAAGAATACGTGAAGTGCAATGTGAGAAGCACGGTTAGGAGATTAGGAACACTGGATGGTCGGTCCCTTGGGCCTGATGAGGAACCACCTGTATTGCCAAGTTTTGAATGGCTGGATCGATCGGTTTCCAAACCAACCAACACTGTTTCTGTGGTTGAAACCCCACTTCCAAAACAAGTAAACCAAACAAAACCTGTTAAGAATGTTTTGGCAGCTGAGCATAAAAAGGTAACAGAGGGAGAAGAAAAGAACCAAACCTCCAAAAATACGGAAGTGGTGAGGCAAACACAAACTTTGGGAAATGGAACTGGCCCCACTGTCCTTCAGGTTAGGGAGAGAAATGATGAGATTAGTGAGAAGGAATATATTCCAACAAAGGAGGAGCTGGAATTGGCAAGGAAGGAAGAGGAGTTGAGGAAAAAAGAGTCTGAAGCTAAATTGAGAGAACAGCGGCGTGTAGAGGAGAAATTGAAGGCTCTTGAGGCAGTGGAGAGGAAAAAGAGGATTGCCGAGAAAGCCCAGATGAGGGCTGAATTACGAGCACAAAAGGAAGCAGAGCAAAAAGAGAAGGTAATGTTTTCACTTCCCATTATGTATGTAATTAGGGGTGAAGGGTTCTTGTTGGCAGCAGGTTCAAGGATACGAAACTTTCTGTTCCAGTTTCCACGAGACAAAATTAACATGTTTAAACTTTAAATCAGTTTCTTGTGTATGGTTGTATCACCTTGGAAATAAATAGGTCTTGTTTGTGCGCACAATACCCCGTTCAAATGCATAATAGTTGGACTTGAAATGACAGTTTCATTTTAATATGTGCAGGAACGGGAGAAGAGGTTGAGAAAGAAGGAAAGAAAGAAGGGCAATGGATCAGAAGTTTTGGATGGAAACAATACTGGGGAAAGCACTCCCAGCTCTGAGATTGTGGCAGAAACAATCAAAGAGGCCGAAGTTAAAGATGCATTTGCAGCTTCTTCGGCTTCAAAAAGGCCTCAAAAACCATCGCTTATCACCAAGCAGAGCAAGGCAAAATCTATCCCTCCACCTCTTCGCAACAGAAATAAAAAGAAAATGCAGCAGTGGATGTGGATCATTGTTACGTGCTCCCTTGTCATTGTTCTGTTCGTGCTTGGGAATGTGGGCTTCTTCTCTAATATTTCCAATCTTAAACAGCGGAACCTCTACAGCCTTTGATTATGATTTTTTCCGTGTCGGAATTAGAACAAGTTTTTGAGACAGTATAGGTTAGATACCAGATTAAGAGGCCATTATAACTTGATTCTGCTTCCTTTTTGGCTTAAACTTGAAGTCGAACAGAAAGAGAGAGAGAGATGTTACATTATCACAGCATGAACTATCGAAACAGAATGATATACATGATTAGGCATTTTTTCTCTTTGATCGGTTAGCATTTATGTGCATTGTGTTGTGAGATGGCCTTAATATTCCGGCTGAAAGGCTGTCAAATCTCGCTCCATGTCCAATTGTTTGCTTGCACACTCGAGAATGAACGAGGAGATATTTGATTTATGGCAAAAGAAAAAAGATATCATTCCGTGTACATAGTAATTCGGAAGATATCATTATTGTCTTCAGTTTGAATTCTTATTTGGACGGAAGAAATTATTTTTAAGGACAGCGACATAATTTTATTTTTGTACTCATCATCATTACTATTATGATATGTTACGGTAATTTTTTAAAATCACAAAAGTATCATCATCGAGGTGATGGATATATGGGGTAAATTTTTCGAATAAGTATTTGAAGTGAAATGGTTAGACTTGTCAGTCAAATAAGTAAAGATAAATTAACTAAATATATTTTAAAAAATAATTATTGTTCATGTCATATTCGTATGAGTCGATTATGTATTTTGTATTACTAATATGCGAGTTAAATAAAATTCAAAAATTCCTATGATGTGTCATATCATTCGAAGATGTATTTTGTAACCCATTCATTCAAACCCAAACTACTAGAAATGCGAAGTTGTGTGAAAATGTGGGATGAAATGATGATGGTTATAGAGTGAGTACTTTGGTAGTAATGAATGAATACATGATTTGACGTCTTTGGGGGGAAATTATTGTACGGTATTTGGGAACCCCAAAAGATTCCACCAACTCGTTTTTTTCTTCCTCATAGGGTCCCATTTCTTCGTACGATTGTTCTTATTTTTATTTTTTAAGTCATTTTCGAAATGTACTTGGTGAGATAATCCAGAATAACAAAAATAAATAAATAAATAAAAGAATATAGTTTTGAAATTTTAGAACAAAATGAACTAAGGAATAATGACCAAAATATTTCTTTTACTCAACTAATGAAATTATAAAAGAGGTGAAACGTCTGAAAATTATTTAAACGATTACATTACGTGTTGGTTTAAGAGATTTTGATAAGAGAAAGAGATAAGAATGGATTCTTGGGAAGAATGAGGTGGGACAAGAAGGGGAAAGAGGATGCATGCATTTGCAAATGAGATGAGATGAGAGGCAGAGCCCCTTGTTTTTTTGGTCTTTTACAAAGGTGATGATGATGATGATGTGAGACCCCATATTTTTGATAATCTCATGTGCGTACGAATTGTTTTCTTCTTTTTACCATTTTTTTTTTTTTTTTGCAATGTACCACTTTTATTGCAGCTCCTACCTCTCTCTCTCTCTCTCTCTCTTTGTTTGTAGCCACCCAAATTGCGCCATTATTTTCTTGTACCATTTGTTCGGTAACCATATAGTGATTGATCTCTCATGCTGTCATGCAACGGTGCTTTCTTCAAATTTACCAACTTCTTTCACTTTCATTGCTTTAATTATCGTCACGAGAGATCAAAAGAGACATCCTTGCAGAAAATATCATTTGGTCTAACTTTAATAATCCTAATTTTTGTAAGCAAATTAGGATTGTTGTTATCAGATTTGCGACTAAAACTATGACTATAAATTATCAAATCAGTAAACAGAAAAAAAAAAAAAAGATTCATTGAGATTTTGTATCAATTCTTAGGAAGTAATAATTTTAACCCCCCCCCCCCCTTCAAAAAAATAGATAAATAAATTAACCCAATTTAAATCTACCAAGTCGGCCTTAGAGCGCAAATTTCACATTCAGTCCCAATTTTTAATAGCTCAGCCTAAATTAACCCAAAAATTAACCCTGTCTCTCTTATGAACTTTTAGTGGTAGCTCAGCCTACCATTCAAATTTTACTCTTCTTTTTATCATTTTCCTTTTATTCTCAAATAATTACCCTAAAAGATTTTTTTTTTTTAATAACTCCCTCGACGGAAGAAGGAAGAATATGTACTGTACGTAGAAGTGGGCAGTATTCTCCATATGATATGGAGTAACTGCATGCTGCCTCGTGTTCATTCAAACTCTTTTTTGTTTTAATTTAGGGGTTTTTTTTTTAATAATTTTTTTTTTCTTTTGAGTACACTGCAACAATTTAGCAAGAACATGGCCCCACGTTTTGGCTTCGTTGCTTATTCCCTTGGCTAACGTGCCCCACCCCCCTCCCCCCGCCCTTTGTACTGGTATCTACTTATTTATTTGCATTTTCAAAAATAGATACTCTTGCAATTATTAGTTTTTATAAATAGCAGTGCCGATTTCATTTACACAAAAAATAGCTAGAGAATAATATATATATATATGTATAATAATATATATAATAATAATGTCCTTCTATCTTTTAAAAATAATATACTCTTTTTTTCTCTGAAAAATAATCCACATTAATTTGAAAATTTATACTAAAAATCAATATAAAAATTCAAAACGGACTTTTTTTTTTCTGGGACATAGGTTGTAATATTTTTATTAACTGAAGAATTTGAAAAAAAAAATCACAGAATGACGTAGTGAAGATAAAAGAAAATGTTAATGTACGTACTAATATATTTTTCTTATAATTCTCGTTTATGTATGTTAAATCGTATTGTTTTTAGTACATCCTAATTGACATAAATATAATGATACAAGAGTTGCGACTCTCATGTATGTATGTGTTAAGTTCGTTTTCAGCAAATGATGACGAGAGACCAATAAGGACTTTTGTCAATTGAACTAAATAACAAATTATCAGAAAAAACATATTTGATTAACCAGTAAAATCTTGAAAGTAATTAATACGAAGAACATAAGAAGTGCTATGAATATTAACGGGGAAAAGATAACCAAGAAAACAAAGATTTGCAAATTTTTTTTAAAAAGACGAATATATAGAATAATCAATGAATTGAAAGGGACAGAATATTCCGCCCCAAATGATATGAAGAATTGGATACATAATGTTTCACTAATCAAATACATACTGCATTTTTTATTTTATTTTTTCATGAGACTTATACAGGGATAGTACAAAATGATTAGAAAATCTATCATTTACAAGTCATCAAAAGAGAAAGAGAAAACGATTTGGAGACGTCACCCCTCTGAGAATAAAACATTTTATTTGTTTAATTACATAATTTAACGAATATGATTATAATTTTGATATAAAAAGAATACATAGTCTCATTTTGATAATTAACAAAATAATGTAAGTATACCTTCCAAGCTACAAATTGGCTTGTAGCTTGGGTCTCAAGTTGTTTCGTGCCTACGTGTAATGAATTGTACTCTATTTGAGGGTGGTATTTTAAGATTTTACGAAGTTAATTTTGTGATCTATCGAAACTTATCAAGATGTAAAGGTTAAGAAACGTGGAAGTTAAAAAAGATTCACGTGTCACAATTTCAATTATACTTACAATTAACTTATCGGTCAAATTTATTTATCACCTTTTGCATACTATCTGCTGAATTAGTTAGGTTTTTGTTGCAGTGGTATTCTATTTTTTATTTTGACATGGACATTCGGATTGATTTCATTGATTGATTTGATTAGTTAAATTGAAATGAAAGCCTAATTTACAAAAAAAATAATTCATCAATATTAGGGAAAAAGTCCAAACTAGAAAAACCCTCATGCATGCGTAGTCGATTCTAGTACAACATTTGTTTGAACTTTGAAAGGCATATTAGTATTAATTGGACGTATATGGGAAATTTCTTGCTTTTTGAGTAAAAGAAGTCTCTAAAATACAACATATTTTTGACCCACCTCGGCCTCGGGTGCCATTGTAAGATTTGCCTTCATTTTCGTGAACATAAAATGCTGTTCAACGTCCATTTTTTCTCATCAAACGTCTTTACATTTTTTTTTTCTTACCTTTCTTTAATTAATAATTTTCCATCACAATTATTTTTTTTTCTGGTATTCGTCTTCCTCTTTTATCTCCCCTCTTTCTCTCTCTATTTTCAGCTCAGAGGGGAAGATATATCAGTTTATTTCTTCCACTCTTTTTCATTAATTTTACCAAAAAAGAAAAAAAAGGAAGCCTGAATTCCTTCTCTGAACAGCTCTAAGGAAAACCTAGCCTTCTCGAGGTTTGTTGATTTATTATGAGTTCATAACTTTCTATATACTGTTAATTTCTTTTGTAATTTTTAGTCTTGTTGATATTTATTTATTTATTATGTACTTGTGTTTGATTTGTAGGCGCCAAGATGGTCGCGGGGGGTTTCACTGTGGATTTAAACAAGCCACTTGTTTTTCAGGTTAGATCATTATGATTATTTTCTCCACATATATTATGTTATAATCTGTGACATTTCTTTTAAGTGGTAACTAGAGTTTAAATCTTGTCGGACCAATATAATGAAGGACCAAAACCAAAAAAGAAACCCTTATTTTTCGTTTTCAACAAAAATGGTTGAAGTTTAAACATGTTTATGTAAAACTACAATGAAATTTTCAGGTCGGCCATCTTGGAGAAGCATATGACGAATGGGTACACCAACCTATAATTACCAAAGAAAGCCCTAGGTTTTTCAGAAATGGTTTTATTGAGGTAAAAAATTCATGAAATTCATTTTTGTTTTTGTTATTTAATTAGGTATTTTTGACAATTTTGAAAAAAAAAAAGTTATACGTCTACTTTTTTTTGGGCTGACAAAAAAAGAATTGCTAGTGCAGTTATTAACCAAAAATACATGGTGGATGATTCCGATGATATGGTTGCCGGTGGTGTGTTGGTTCGTGACATCGTCGGTAAATATGGGATTGGAATCGCCGGCTCTATTGGCGGCGACCGTGGTGGCCGGAATTGGCTTCTGGACATTTTTGGAGTATTCCATTCATCGCTTCATTTTCCACATCAAAACTACTACTTATTGGTAACTATTTCTTCTCATCACCTCTAATCTTTCATTCACATTTTATTGCCATTTCTTTTATTAATTTTTTTTTTTTTTGGGTGATAACTAAAGACGCTTCGGACGAAATTATCATATGGCAGATGGAAGAAAAAGTCAATTCGAATTATATGAATTTACTACGCTAAAAAATTAACTAAAATACTAGTATATAGTATTTTGAATTTCATTTAGCGTGGTTTCTCAAAAAAAAAAAAGAAAAGAAAGTGAAATCTAAAAAAATACTTCATAAGAATTTGGAGAAAACAATAAATGTGAAATTTGATTTTAAAGATTTTTTTTTCAATTAGAAAAACAGAATAAATAAAACTTACAAAAAAAAAATCAAAATAAGTTATAATAAGGACCGGATGTAGTATTAAAAACTGAATTAAATGGAGATTTTGTTACTTTATTTTTTTCCTCTTTTTTCAATTACGTGAATTAAGTTATATTATACTATATGTTGATGATGATGGTTGATTTTAACTTAAGGGGAAACACATTCCATTACCTAATTCATGGATGCCATCACAAGCACCCAATGGATGCTTATCGCCTTGTATTCCCACCCGCTGCCTGTGCCATCTTACTTGTTCCGGTAAGTAATTTTATTTGCACATACTTTTTCCGTTTTAAAACTTTTTTTTACCTAAACTGTTACCATGTAAAAATAAATTAACTTTCATAATATCGAAGTTAAATTGGAAATTTTTCTTTTGTAATTAGATAACTTGAACACAATGAGTAACAAAATATTGCGACTATAGTTTCATATTTATCCTCATTGTCTCTATTATTATGCTAAAAGTATGAATTAAAACGACATTTTAATTTGCCTTTCTTTTTCAATTTTGGTTGATATTTTTTTCCTGGCTAATTTTATTTTTTATTTTTGGTTGGGTTATATGAATTTTCAGATATGGAATTTAATCAAGTTGGCAGTTCCTCCGATTTATGCCCCTGCTTTTTTTGGGGGTGGATTGTTGGGATATGTCATGTATGATTGCACACATTACTACATCCACCATGGCAAGCCATTGAAAGGAGTTTCTAACAAATTGAAGGTACATATTATTAATCCTCTATTACAAATACTTATTTTTATCTCCATTAAAATATTTTTTGCAATTATTTCTAACAATTTTTTTAATATATTTTTATTCATTAATTCTGCAGAGATATCACATGAACCACCACTACAAAGTTCAGGATAAGGGATTTGGAATAACCTCAACATTTTGGGACATAGTATTTGGAACACTTCCTCCTAAATCAAAATCAGAAGAAAAAATTAGGTGATAGAAATGATGCTGAGATATGATCAAAGTATATTTATTAAATTACATCACATTTTATCTTGTAAGGACTAGCATAAATTGATTTGTTTATATGCTTTTTTTTCCTTTATTTTTTTCACTTATTTTTTTGTTTTTAAAAATTGTAGATTTTTATAATTCCTAATACTAGGATTTTTGTAGCATACATTGCTTACTTTTTCACTCTCTTGTTTTGACAATTAATTCCTTAATTGTAACAGAAGCGCCTAATTGAGTATTGCTGCAAATAATATGACAAAAATTACTGTGAACATTTAGTTCTCAAGATATTTTTCACAACAAAAGATTCGTATCAAATTCAAATTCATATCAATCACATTAATCAATTTAAGGTTAATAATTTATTGCAAGATTGACTCCAATACGAAAGATTAAACCAAACCCGAACCAAGTACATCGATTGATTCAGACGCTATCATATTTAACAAGGATAGAACGAGTTCAATTTGAGTTAAACCGATTTCAAATTACACTTACCACATTTAATCGTCATCTAATTATCCTGATAAAATCAATCTCATTATTGTTCGAGTTAGGTTCTCGACTCAGGCTCGTTTTAAGCCTCATGTTGCATCACTACAGCTGCTACCCTTCATCCATACTATTATTACCATGTGTTGGGGAAGAAAAAAGAAAGGTGATAGAGAAAGAGAGGAGAGCGAGAAAGTAAAATAGTGCCGACAACAATTTTGCAGGAGAGTACTTGTGCAAGCAAATGCATATGCAAAAAAATAAAATAAAGTAAAATAAAAAATTTCATATTTAGAATTTATGCATCTCTATCTCTTTCATTCCTTCACTCCAATTCCAATACATATCTCTTTCTTTCTCCTCCCAGTACACCTAATTTTGTTTTTTTATCAGAAAATTTTATTATTTTCAATTCCTTTAAAATAATAAATTAATTTCATTTCTTCCTCTTCCATTTCCTCTTCTCAATTAATTTCAACACTCAGATCTGACCTCCCCCTACCTCTTTCCTTTTTCACTTTTCCGGCGCCTTTGACTTCCACCGAAGATCTGACTGACTTCCTTCCACCGTCGCCACCACCTCCTCCGCCGCTTCTCTTAATCTCTCTGTCAGTGATTCCGGCTTGCCTGAGGAGGAACCACCTCCTTTATATGTGGTTTCCTCTTGTCTAATTAATTTAATTTTGAGGTTTTTTTTTTGGATGCTGGAGTTGGACCAACCTTAGCCTTACTAGTTGAGACTTGGGTGGCTTTGTGCAAATGGGTTTTCTCTGTAAACCCTAAAAAAGGTGCCTTTTTTTCTTCTTATCTTTCATCACTTCTGGTTTTTGTTTTTTGTTTTTGGTTAATTGGGGTGCTTAGTTGGGCTTTATGGATCTCTGTGCAAAACCCAACTGTTTGCCGGGATTTTGCTTTGCTCAGATCATCATTTTGAATCAGTAATTAGGAATTCTTGTCAAAGTCTGTGTTTTTTGGTATAATTTTTTTCTATTATCCCCATTGTTTCATCCATTTTATTCACAAACTTTATAAACCGGTGAAAGGAATCTTTGTTTTTTCTTACCTGATTTTGTTTGTTTTCCGTATTTACTCCGGTTGTAGCTGATAGTTTTTGTTTTTTCCTCCCTCAATCTATCCAAATGGATTCTGATTTTGATTTTTTCGTCCTTGAAATTGTTGGAAACCAATCCAACTTTCACCAGCAGGCTTAATTCCTGGAGCAGTTTATAATTCGATTAATTTGGTTGGGAAAAGAAATTTGTAAAAGTCATGGAAGACATTGGAGCTGCACAAGTGGTAGCTTCCCCAGTATTCATGGGGCGGCACCAATCATTTGCCCCAACTCCCAGATTCTGTGACCCACACCCGGTCATTCCCCGAAAACGCAGTCTTTCATCCTTTCCTGCACACCCTCAAAAGCCTCCTCCTTCTGCTGGTAACTGGAATCCTAAGCAATGGGAATGGGATAGTGCCCGGTTCGTTGCCCGGCAACGAGATTCATCTGCAATGGAAATGAATCATCAGGATAATAATACAACTATTAGGGAGGAAATTGTCAATGTGGGTTCGGGTCCGGTTCGGGTGGTTGTGCAAAATGATGTTGCAGAAAGTGAAGATCTTCAGCTGAAACTTGGTGGTGGTGAGACTAGCTCTGGAAATGGAAATGGCAGTAGTGGAAATTCAGCTGATGAAGGAGGAGGGCCTGTTTCTTCGATGAGGCCAAATAAAAGAGTGAGATCTGGATCTCCTGGTACTGCTAGCTACCCTATGTGCCAAGTAGACAATTGTAAGGAAGATCTTTCTCATGCAAAAGACTATCACCGGCGCCACAAGGTGTGCGAGTTGCACAGTAAAGCCACTAAAGCATTAGTTGCAAAGCAGATGCAGAGGTTTTGCCAGCAGTGCAGCAGGTCTACTCTCTCCATTTGCTTCGAATTCAACCAGTTTTGTTGATGAGTTTGTGTATAATTATTTTGCGGGATTTTATCAGTCCAGGGGTCTACCTTTGCATTGTTTGTTATGGTTGAACTTCTGTCTCAATTTATTGGAAGATACCTTTAGTTTGTGGTGCTTGACATCAAATTTATATGTGATTGTGTATCACAGGTTCCACCCTCTCACAGAATTTGATGAGGGTAAGCGAAGCTGTAGACGTAGACTTGCTGGGCATAATCGAAGGAGAAGGAAAACACAGCCAGAGGATGCGGCATCACGAGTAGTTGTGTCTGGGAACCAGGAGACTACTGGAAACGGTGACTTGAACATAGTCAATCTACTGGCTGTTCTTGCTCGGGCTCAAGGTTCGAAACCTAATTCTGGAATTTTATGTTGTGTCTTAATGCATTTGAACATTGCTCACTTGTGTTATTTTTTCCCCCTTTTTAAAGTTATTTGATTTTTACTACGTGATCATTCGTAGTTCCATTTATTTGCAATATATTTTTGTTATCGACCTGTCCTGTTAGTGCCAGATTGATTAGTTGAGATATACACTTTTGCTGTAGTGCCTGGTGGTAAGATGTATAGGCTGCACATGGTCATCTTCTTTTTATTTTAGTGAGAAATTCAAAGGTTTTATCTTTCTTCCAGGAAATATGGAGGGCAAGGGAACTAATGGTTTATCGATGCCTGACAAAGATCAGCTACTTCAGATCCTCACTAAGATTAATACCTTACCTTTGCCCGCAAATCTTGTGGCTAAACTGCCAATTTTTGGAAATCAGACTAAGATTAATGCAAATCAACTTCCATCTGTTGATCTGACCTCACTGAAAGGAAGCACTTCCCCCTCAACTATGAACTTGATTGCCGCTTTATCAGGAACTCCTGCAGTCCATACACCTAGTGGGCTCGAGACACCTCCAGAAAGAAGCAGCCAGGGGAGTGATTCCGAGAAAACAAATTCTGCTTATTCTGACCAAGTCACGTGCCTTAACTTGAATGCTCCAGCCTTTAATTCCCCCTGTGTTGGAGGAGAGAGAAGCAGTTCGAGTGAACAGTCACCTGTTGATGATTCGGATTCTCATGTGGAGGATATGCAACCAAATGTACCCTTACAGCTGTTTAGTTCTTCACCTGAGGAAATTTATCCTCCAAAGCTTCCTGCTGGGCGAAAGTATTTCTCTTCTGACAGCAGTAATCCATCTGAAGAAAGATCACCTTCCTATTCACCTCCGGTTGCGCAGACGTTATTCCCTGTGCATGCTTCTAGAGAAACGTTACGGCCTGTCTATATGTCTAGCGGGGGCCATGGTGATGCAAATTTTGTAACTGCAGAGGATAGTGGTTGTGATACGTCACTTCAGCTGTTTGCTGGTTCACCTGTTGGAGCTGATGTCCGGAATCCACATTACCAGGCCGGTTACGCGTCTTCTTCTGTGTCTGATCATTCACCGTCTAGTATGAATTCTGACAACCAGGTGGCTAGCAACTTTGAGTCATCATTTTATACTTGTTGCTGCTTTATGGCTTTGCTTTTGATTTTCTATTTTGAATTGTAAATGCTGAATGATTTTTTAAATCCTCAGGATCGTACTGGACGAATTATTTTCAAACTTTTTGACAAGGATCCTAGCCATTTACCCGGAGCATTAAGGGACCAGGTATGAAGTTGCTCTTTGATTGTGAACAACTTGTGACCTGTTCTGTTGTTTCTTTCTGGGAAATTGATCGTGAACAACTTGTGACCTGTTCGGTTGTTTCTTTCTGGAAAACTGACACAAAATGTTTCTTCTTTCAGATTCACAGTTGGCTTTCGAATAGCCCATCCGAAATGGAAAGCTACATTAGGCCTGGTTGTGTGGTCTTGTCAGTTTATGTATCTATGTCATTAGCTTCGTGGGATCAAGTGAGTCAAGATGCTCTAGGGATTTTGTTTTATTTGTTGGGGTGGTTTCTTTTGCTAAAAATGTTTGCAACTTCTCTTTTGTAGTTTGATGGAAAGTTACTTCACTATCTAAAGACGTTGATCCAAGACTTCAACACTGACTTCTGGGCCGCTGGAAGGTTTTTAATATGCACTGAAAAACAATTAGCTTCTCATGTTGATGGTGAGTACTGTTGAGTGTGGTTGGTTGTCTTACATCTGTGTTTTATTGAGTGATTTTATCAGTGAATGTGAGCCAACTTTTGTTGTGATCAATAAATTTTTATCTATTTTGTTCTACTAGTATCTTAAGCTAAACCAGTCTTCTATTTGTTTTTCTTTAATTGTCTGCTATGGTTCGTAGATTGTGTTTTAACATTTGTTATTCTCTGGTTTATCGTTCAATAGGGAAGCTTCGTATTCACAAGTCTCTTAAAGCATGGTGCTCCCCAGAGCTGCTATATGTCACGCCTTTAGCAGTTGTCGGTGGTCAAGAGACGTCTCTGTTGCTCAGAGGGCGTAACTTAAACATTTCAGGAACAAAGTATGTGGCTTTGTAGAAAGACTGAGCTGTTCTATTTACTCCTGGGGTTCTTTCTGATAATTTTTGCTTTGCTTGTCTGACAGGATTAATTGTTCGCACACAGCTGATTACACAGTTAAAGATGTTTCTGGGTTGGCCTGTGAGGAATCTGAACATGATGTGATAAGCTTGTGCAATTTTACCGTCTCTGCCGCGGATTCAAGTGTATTTGGTCGCTGTTTCATTGAGGTACTCTTGTTTTACTAGTTCTCTACTCGAAACTGCTCCCATAACTTATGTCATGTATTTATTTAAACAGTACTTCCTTAAAAACAGGTTGAAAATGGCTTAAAGGTTTCCAGTTTTCCAGTGATCATAGCTGATGAGCTTATCTGTCAAGAACTGAGACTACTGGAATATGACATTGGGAAAGATTCAAAGGTGGACTATGGTACACCGGCCCATGATCTTCAGGGTCATCACAGGAGATCTGGATCAAGGGAAGAAGTTCTTCATTTCTTGAATGAACTTGGATGGCTATTTCAGAGGAAGTGCAACAGTTCATTTCACGAGAATCCTAATTATAAGATTAGTCGTTTCAAATTTCTCCTAATATTTTCAGTGGAACACAACTTCTGTTTCTTGGTAAGAAGTCTTTTAGACATCCTACTTGAAATAAACTTGGATAAAGAAGATTTGAGGAGAGAGTCCCTGGAAATGTTATCAGAAATCCACCTATTGAACAGAGCTATTCAGAAGAAGCATAGGAGCATGATTGATTTACTCTTGAACTATTCCGTAGTTGATGCTAGTAATGGCTCCAAGATCTATTTCTTCACACCAAATTCTGTTGGACCTGGAGGTGTTACACCATTGCATTTGGTTGCCTGTACTTCAAGGTCAGAAGACTTGGTTGATGCCTTGACAAGTGATCCACGAGAGGTAATATCCTTCTCAAGACTATGGCGCCCATATTCCACTTAGTTTCTAAAACCTGAAATTCTGCTAGCTTTATTATGTTTGTCAATGCTTCTTGCCAAGCTAATGTCTTTTAATTATTGTATTCATTCATTTGTGATGATTGCTTGAATTGTGTGTCTGGTTAAACTTTTTGGATCCAGGTATTACATATACAATACAAGTTCTATTATTAAATTTAGCCTCCAAAAACTCTGCCCCGACCTAAGTTGGCCTCCTTGTCTGTTGGTTTTCAATGTGCCTCAGCTCTGCAATAAATTTAGTTTCTTCCTTGTAGATTGGGTTGCGCTGCTGGAAATCGCTTCAAGATGCGAGTGGTGTTTCGCCTTTTGGCTATGCTGCAATGAGCAATAATCACTCTTATAACAGGCTTGTTGCGCAGAAGCTTTCCATGAAGGAAAACCGTCAAGTTTCAGTATCGTTCGGAAGTGAAATTGAATTGGAATCATTGTCAGAAATGACTCGGCCATACAAATCTGCTTCTCTTACTAAAAGGGCTAGTGATTCTTGTTCAAAGTGTGCTTCTGCTGCAGCAAGATGTAGGAAAGCTCCGGGATCACGTGGCTTGCTTGACCGACCTTATATTCACTCGATGCTAGCAATTGCTGCCGTATGTGTTTGTGTATGCATTTTCTTCCGAGGTGCCCCAGATTTGGGTGTGGTTGCCCCCTTTAAGTGGGAGAACTTGGATTATGGCTCTATGTAACGGAGATCGTTGACTTTAGTAATGCATTGACAAGAGGAAACATGGTATTTTACTTACTGAACATAATTGCTGCCGAAGCACACGAAGCATGGTGCATATAACCACCACTTATGAGGAGGGTGTTCCCCTTGTGCATAATGAGAAAAAAGTTGGTGTTGATAGAGGAGAACACAGCTTTTGCTTCTGCTGGTTGATATGTTGATATAGGAGAAAACAGCTATTGCTTCTGCTGGTGGTTAGGTTTTGTCCTTTTCTGGAGGTCATGTGAAATTTATCGAGGCTTGGTTGCTTTTGAGCTCATCCATCACTTCACTTAGTATTAAGGAACTCTAGAATTGCAGCTCAACTAATCTAATTTCTTCACACCTTCCAATGGGGGATTACTTTCAAACATACAAGAAGAAAGATTTACCTGATAAGGCTGTGCTGAAGAGCTACGACATCAGCATAAAGCACTTGCAGTGAGCCGCTTTGGTTATGATGATGCTTATATTGGCTTAGTGGTTCAGGCATCAATGTCTTTGCCAATGTAATCTTCTTTTCTATCCATGTTTCTCTATTTGGATTTCAGCAGTAGTAGTGACTAATGTTGATTGTCACTGTAAAGAATCTTTAGGTCATCAGGGATTACAGCTCTTTTAAATTTTTTGTTTATTTTTTATTTATATTTAGCTTTTCTATAGATGATACATATTTTTTACAACTCTACTAAATAAGGGGTTTATGTGGTAATGTGGTATTTTTTCTCCAGTTCTAATATATATATTTGCTTTCCTGTTGTAAAGTGAGTAAGCAAGCCCTCTTTTCTATTCCATGAAATCCCATTATTTTGGTTCTGCTACGATAGCTCTTAGGTTGAGTTACACAGTTATTTTGTGCATACAACTGAGCAATGCTAGTTTGAATGAAATGGTAGAAATCAATCTCAAAAGGCTGTGAATGAATGGAGAAATAAAGACATGGTTGGATCAGCTGGTCTGGGGTCGGTCAGTTGGCGCTCTGCCCCGCCGGCGGCGACCCCTTGCCATACTCTGAACGAGTACTTGGCCAACACCTTCTCCAACTCCTTCAATTAGGCCTCCAATGAACTCAATGACAACCTGGGAAGCCAGACGAGCTGCAGTCCCAAGCATCATGCTCTTGTTGGGCTTTTCAGGTGCAGTCATTCCATTTGCTCGGAGGCCATTGATCATGGCCTTGGCGCAGACTGCATGCAGATGATAGTTGCAGGTTGTGCACCTGTATATTCGTCCTGCTGTTCTTTTCATCTTGCACTCACCACATACTGCTGCTCCAATTGTATTGTTGTTACCACTACTATTTGTACTCGTTGTACTGCTAATGTTCAGCTGAGTTCCAGGAGGTAGGAGCTTTAAAGAGTGAAGATGACCGTTGCTTGAGTGCGCTTCCCAAGGGAGAGGAGGAAAAATCATCTCAGTGGAAAGCATAGCACAGCAAGGGTGCATCTGGAAGCTGCAGGCTCTGCATCTGAATGTAAACCCCTTAATGGACTTCCCACAGGCGTCGCATTTCGGCCATGATAAGCCAGCTTCATTGTAAGTAAATTACTATCAGGTCCAAAGGAACTTAAATTGATTTAGTGATGCAATGCTATACTTAAATAAGTTAATCAGAACATGTATTATATATATGTAAATCCTACGCTGGGTAGAATATACATATGGAGTACTTAGGATCCTATGCATGAAGGCTATAGTTTCTCTGCATCCCGTTTTGAAAAAGCATGGTAAAAAGAAGAAACTGAAATTGGCTAGTTGGAGTTCCTGGTATTCCCCGATCATGTTGGCAGTCATGTCGTGCTTATAGTAATTGTTCAATGTGTAGCAAACTAAGTACCTTGTTTAGGCCTCGAATGGAACACAAGCTGATGTTGGGGATGAAGAGGATGGGCCTTAAGTGTCGGGGGAGCTAAGGCACAGAAATCATGCAACTGAAAATTGCACTCTTGGCATGAGAACCTCTTCCCAGCACCGTACTCTTTGCAGCCTCCACACACGAATAGATCAGCAAAAATTGTTGTTTGGGCTAGGTGATGATTTGGGTGGCTATAATGCTGTATTATTACTTCTTCTCCAGCCGAACCATCTGCAGATTGGGGTGAGGTTGGAAAATCTACGTGGGGAGGAATCTTCTTAGGACCATTGCTAGTGACGGTACTGGCTGATCGCGGCTCTGAGGAAACCGAATAGTAACAATGGTAAGGGGGTGACCCTGGAAGTTGCATTTGAGTTCTGGGGTTCATCTTTGAGATTGTAAAATACAATCTATTTATTTAAACACATCAACCGAGTCATATTTTTCAATATCACTTCTAGTAAATAGTGACTTATATTAGCACTTTATGGGTGTTCTATTCTTTAATTTCCACTAGGTGAAGAAATCTTTACCAGCAATCCATCCATCCGGGTGATTCTGCAATCTGTGGAAAATGGAGAATATCTAGTAATACAAGTTATGCTATTCCTGGCAAGAAAGTCAATTACAGCATTATTCTTTATGACTCTTGTCCAAAGACCAAAAGCATCAATCAAAATGAGGTACTTATTTCAAGTAAATCATTATGTGCCCAGGTAGCTAGCTTCATCATTTTATTAAAAGTTGCTCAAGATTGGATTCCATGATTTTAATTTATTATTTATTTATTTATTTTGGTTGGCTTTCCTGATGTGTGTGAAGTAACAGTTGGATATGAGTGTGCACTGTCAGTATTCTAATTTATGGACCTAAAAGGCTAAAACAATACAAATGTGACAAGGGTTCCTAGTTTCCATGATAATGTTAATGTTTGAAGTGTTAAATTCAAAGTTAATTGAAGTTTTTCCATCCATCTCTTCTTAAAAAACAAAAGCTTGATGGTGAACCTTGCGAAAACGGTGTATTACTTGCACCGTGCACCTTCAAGGAAGTATATGCACTAGTAGCAAAGCTTGTAGCTTTCCAAAGCATTTAGGTCATCAAACAGTTGGGAGGTTTCGAATTCAAAACCATTTGGGCAGTGGCTGTATATGTATCTCACCTGAGAGACTCAGAGGAAATTCGAAGACCAGACTATTGGAGGTGCTCTTAACGCTCATGACTGCTTATACAATTATTCGTTTTTTTCCAAAATTATTTGTGAGTGCTCCCAATGCTCAATTGTAGCAGAGGATACCTTTTCAAAATTTTGAGCATATTATTTGATGAGCATTAGCTGGCATTTAATTGGTAGTTAATGCTAATCAAAATCCACTAATAAAATGAGGGGTAACATGAATATGATGATACGCATCCCAAACCCTGGATTTTGGTGCAGATTCTTATTCTGCCAGAAGTTGAAAGAAGGGGAAAGTGGAGGCAACAAAGAGCGCCAAGATTTTTAATTTTTTTTTTCCTGAATATTGAAAGCATTAAAAATATGTTTTGCAGCCTGGATTGAAGGAAATGGAATCACTTTTTGCCTAAGGAAACTGACCAAATAATTCAATTCTAGTGCTCATAATTTTAGTTTTTTTTTTTTTTTCCTTTTCCTTTTTCGGTTTCGATTTTTGTTTTTCCATTCTTCCGTTTTTTTTTGTGGGAGGGGGTGTTTTCGGGGGCTTGAGCTTATATTATCACTGTAGGATAATGTAAACACTACAGAAAGAGTAATCCTCTTCAATTTACAAAAATTCACAAATTTTTTTTTCTTTCTAAAAAACACTAGTGGTCAAATAGATCTTAGCTAACAAATACTACTCGTATGTAATGTAACAATTGAATCACAAGCAATTTGAAGTGTAATGTGTAGTGCAAAATGTCGAAGCAACCAAACTATGAAACATTCTTTCTTTTAACAAACAAATAACCTTATGTCTATGAGAGTGGAGTCAGTCAGCCCTATATGTACACCTAAACGGTAATACTATAATATTTCACACTCGAGATAATTTTTACCCGATTTGAAATGATCCAAGAGTAAAAAGTCTCATGAGCTTTTTACTACCATAATTTAGTACCTGAAAGTTCATCTACCATAATCTAGCATATAATAGAATGTGTTGTAATAGTATATGTATTTTTGTTTAATATACAGGTACTTTTTCCAAAAAAAAAATTATTCTGTTTGAATTAAAGTGTTGTTTTCTCTAACTCTAGATTTTTCAATTTGAAATTTTATTTAAACGACAATTATTGTGAGACGGATAGAAATTTTGACATATTTATATACCGCACCCGCATTGAAGAGATTAGACGCATAGAACTGATGTTTGATCATTGATGAATTGAAGGCTGCATGGACCCGACAAAAACCTAATCATTATTCAATACCACCCATCTTCCCCGGCCTCATTCTGCATGCCCGCTTCTCTCCTAAATAGTTCTCTATTAACGTATACAGATAGAGATTGATAATTTTTAACTCTCTAACATGTGAGAGTACAAAATCCGACTTGATTATTTTTATAAGAAAATAATATACCACTTGAATACACACACAAAAAAGTAGTAGAAAATGGTGGGAATAGAATCATGGAAATTGATTTTTTGTAAAGACCACATTTTTTGGACGGTAGCCTGCCTAGTAGTATTATTGAATGTGGATGTGTTCATCCCCTGTCTCCTCCATTGCGAATAACTTTTCCCCCTTTTCCTTAATTTTGCTGACTCCTAAATTGTTTGTTATTTGGAATCCATTAAACATCTTGGGTTGGTAGCTTAAACTTGTTTTTCATGCCCCATTGTTGGTTTGATGTCATATTGCCTAAGTAGTACCATACGTGATAATTCACTAAAAGATTAATGCATGTAATGATGGGTTCATATAGTGGTTTCATCCCCCTTTCACATCATTTTCCTCCTCAATATGTACATATTGGAGTGTTGAAAATAGAAAAAGTCTCACTCTACATGCAAAGTATGAAATGAAACATAGTCCCGATTTGGGCAGTATCCCTTTTACAAACGATAAGAAGTATTCTTTGCGTGAGGGGACAATGTTTATAAAGAAATAAAAGATCTCGTTTTCATTGTTTGACGGAAATAATAATAATAATGTAACGTTATATAGAGTTTATATAATGACTTTCCTAGATTGAAAACTTCATTTTGAACTCTCAAAAACATTTCTTAAAATTTTTTGGTATCCTTTGTTCTCTGTTAACTCTTAAAACATTTATTATACGGTATGAAATTAAAATTTTCCCCACAAGGCCCACCTCTACAACGAACATTTTAATCAGTCATTTATGCAAAATTCAAATCAAATACTTATCTACTGGTGATTGAGAAAGGAAATCCAAATTACAAGTAGTAGTAGTTGACTAGTAGTAGTATGGAGGGGAAATTTCAGCTGGGGTTTCTGGCCAACTGCATTACCACTCCCACTCTTCCAAATCATAAACTCTTTTTTGTCTTCTTGTTTAATTTTGTATATACTGTATATGTATATGTATGGTACATGATCTGTTCTTGTTGTTGCTGGTATACTTGCTACGGTTTGGACGTGTGGCGTTGACCTAATCTCATCTATGTTTTCTGCGTTCTTCATTTTGAAGATAGTAATAAAATATAGTAGTAAGTAGTGTTATAGTGCAAGTACAATGTTATTAATTATCATAAGTCACCGTCTTGGAGAGATCATTACAAAAATATAATACTACTAATAATAATCTAAATGTAATAACATCAGATCAGATCTTCATCAGATAATTTAATGAAGAACGGCACAATCAATGTTGACTCTCTCCCGCCTTAAAGTTCTACCCTTTATTACTTGCCTTTTTTATGCTTATTATGAAGTCTGATGTTGATAACTTGATGGGTTATTTTGTGTGTGTGTGTGTGTTGTCCTAAATTGAAAATAAAAGATTGGAATTTGGTAACCCACTTCAATTCATCTGCTGCAGTAACTCAATTTCTGAGATGGGTTTGGTTTATTTCCCACTTCTCAACTTTTTCCTAATGCAAAATGTGCAAGGCATTATATATATGATGATAAATATGAACATATTGTGTGAATGAAGTGTTCTTTCTGGAGAGTCTGACTTTTTATAAATTTTAATGGGTAATAAATTGAAGAAGGGGAGGAATCACATTGAATGCTAAAGAGGGCCAAAGTGAAGTTTTAATCAAATTAAATATTTTTCCCACCACCACATTTCACGCCAAAATTCCGAGATTCGAGATCATCATCATCACCCTCTTCTCATCAATTCTGTTTCTGAATTCTACATATTAAAATATGCTTTTTTGAATCATAGTCCTTTACAAAGAGTTTACTTGGACTTACTGCTTCATTTTTTCTCACTCAGATTTTGATTATAAAAGTTCTTTTCTTTTTTTCCCCTAACAAAAAAATCTTAGAAAAATCCAACTGTCGGTGGTAGTACTACTAGATTAATACAGTATATCATCACACTGTAGGTTTGGAAGAGTTGGGTTGGATTCTTCTCCAACAAATTTCAGTAAGTTTTTTCATAGCCAGAGGAGGCTCTGCAACAGAGCCTGCAACTCTGCAAAGCTCTGATTTTTTCATTGTTCAATCTTCCATGGGTGCAATGTTGGCACTATAAAGTGACTGAGAGAGAAGATTGAAAGCCAAAATGCAAAAGTAGAACAATGACCATGACAAGTACAGCCCTTTTGCCAAAGTTGAATCATCATAGTCATCACAGTTTCCTGATGTCTTCCCCTCCTACTGCCACTACACCACCTTCCCCTGTAAAGATTCATTTTTTTTCATTGTCTTTCTCTTTTCCCTCTATTTTCATTCTTTTTCATTTCTTCGTTCACTAACTGATCTTGTCATGTTGGGTTTTACAGGGTATTATTAGTCGTTTCTTTCCCCAGGGTGACTGTCATCAAGAACCTCAAATGCTGGACTTGGGCATGGAGATGATGACTCCACCACCTCAAAGAAAGGTCAGTCCTTTTTTATACAATAACAACTTGTGGAATTTTATCAAAAGGGTTCAGTTCTTTCATTAGGGAATCTGCTTAAAAAGTTGTTACTTTTCATCCCCATTTTTAAATTATGTTATTTCTTTCTTTTTTCTTGAGGGAACAGAAATCTTTAGTTCTTAACAGGTCCCACTTCTTTGCAGTCTGGTGACCACCTGTTTGTTTAAATGACTGACATGTGATTATTAGTCGATGATGCATGAATATGTTTTTAAGGAGCTGCAAAGTCTCAATATTCCTTAAAAAAATTTTGTTTTCTTTTGTAAACTGTAGAAGCTTAAAAGTTTTTGTTTCTGGGGTGATTTTGAATTGCAGTCTACTGGGGAATTAATGAAAGAGATTGCAACACTTGAGGTTCAAATACTGCACTTAGAGAGCTATCTTCTATCCCTTTATCGGACAGCTTTCCAGCATCAAATTGTTCCCCTTCCAAAGGATAATCGAGATGATGGAACTATCCCTCAATTTGTAGAGCATGAGAATGAATCAAGCCAGTTGCAAAAACATATTACTGATTCTTGCTCACCAGATTGCGAGACAAGGAATTCTACTACGTCTCCTGGTCGTTGTTCGCTTGGCAATAATGGAGTCTCTCGGTCCCCTTGCTCTGACGCATCGATATGTTCATATGATGATGAGGCAAAAGCTCCTGCTCAGAACCTGTCATCTGCAGGGACAATAGCTGATGTATTGCCACTTCTTTCAAGTTTCAACATAGTTTTTGACTTAAAAAAATGAAATATGTGGTAAATTCTTCCAGTTACTAATGTGGCAGCCATCGACGGCCACATCAGTCACGAGAATTTTCTGTGATTATTTGACTTCTTGTCTGCATTGATTGCCTCTTTTGTTGACTTCTTTGTATCATGATTAAATCTTTGTAGGATGAAGCACAAGCTGATGATGTTGGTGGACGTGGTGCTCGTACCTTAGCAGATCATTTTGGAAGTTCTAAAAGAATGGAATATTCCCTTGATCATCATAATCCTGGAAAGTTGTCCGAAGAGATGGTGAGATGCATGTGTTGCATCTACTGTAAATTTGCTAATACTACCATTACACCTGCAGCACAGACGGTACCTAAGAAGGGATTCTCAATTTCCTCTGCTTCATCGTCGGCATCCTCTTCTTCCCCATCTAGCACGACAACATTTTCTCCTAGGAATAATGCCTCTAATGGCGGCAGCTGGAGTAGTCCTCAATCTAGCAGTGAGGACATTAAAGAAGGATATTTTGAAGATACTACTTCATATGGCGCGACAATTGAAGTTCTAAAGATATGTCTTGATGATGACAGTTTCAAATATGCTGCAACTATGCTGCAGAGATTCAGGTTGTGTTCACAATTACTTGCACAATTTATTGTTTACTCGGGTTGATGGATTAACTACACTATTGAGATGATAATTTAGGCATGTAATTGACAAGCTCACTAGCGTAAGTGTTAGAATTCTGCTTAAATTTCTCATTTCTGGGCGTTGAAGCAAGCATTAAACCAAAAACTTGGTTTATCCCACACATTCCTAATCACGAATGTTTTTATAAATTGTTGATTAAATTTCTCTTATTTTATTTTATTTTTTTTTTGTATCTTTTTCTCCTAGGCTGGATCTGTGAATTAATTCTGAAACTTGGCTCGCTTATCTTTTTCAGATTGCTCGTTGAGATTCTTGAAAGTGTTGATCCGAGGAAGATGAAACGCGAAGAAAAGCTTGCATTTTGGCTAAATATTCACAATGCCTTGGTGATGCATGTAAAATTTCCACAAAGAACTCCCTTTCACTGTAATTTGTTCTTGTCATTCTCTCCTTGATGGGGAAAAATTGCTGGAATAGACATCTTTCTAAATAGCATCTGCCCGGCTTCCATATCTTGCAAATTTGTGCAACCGATGGTTCTAGAATGAATTTCTTCTGTATGGTGTTGGCATGATCTTCACTTGGCAAGGCTAAGGAGATGTTTAACTGTTTTTTGTCATTGCAGGGATATTTAGCATACGGAACTAACTTGGCGAGGAGTTCTTCCATTTTAAAGGTATGAATAATGTAAGATGGTTTTCTCTGGTGAATTGTATCTGCTAAATATTGCTGCTCTGAGGGCCACATTGAACGAACTCCTAATGCGAACTGTTTTGCAGGCAGCTTATAAGGTGGGTGGACATTCCATAAATGCTCATGTTATACAAAGTTCAATCTTGGGAATCCGATCACACTTCTCAGAACCTGTAAGTCTGAGATTCCTAAATCTATACATTCTTCATTCAAAAAATGATTGATGGCATTTACATAGTCCAAAGTTTACTGCACATTTGAAACAAATCCTAAATTTAAGAAACAATCTGAGTACACGTTCATGTTTGGGGCTGCGTCTCTCTTTGTTTCTGTGGCACGAGTTGCTGTCGCAATTCAAAAGCCAGTTAATGCAAAACTCTTGTTTCCAAAATGAACCCTATAAAATATATACTTTTGGGTTAGAATTAGTCCTAATTTTGTTTGGTAATCGATGGTAATCTTTTGGTTTGACTCGAGTGGTATTATTGCAGTGGCTACAGACACTAATGAGCCCAAAGAAGAAGAAGACTGCAAAACACATTTACGCCCTGGAGTACCCGGAACCACTTGTCCATTTTGCACTTTGCTCAGGATCATGCTCTGATCCGTTGGTATACTCTTCTGCTATTTCTAGTCCTCATTGCATCGAACTTCTAAGGTGAACAGATGCCTAATGTTGTCTTGGGTTTGCAATGCAGGTCAGGATATACAGCGCGAGCAACGTGTTCCAAGATCTAAAAGTTGCTAGAGACGAGTTCATTCGGGCAACAGTTAGCGTTCATAAAGAAACAAAGTTGTATTTGCCGAAAGTTTTGTCACATTTTGCGAAAGAGATGTTGATGAGCATGGCCGAGCTTATGGAGACGGTCTATGCCTGTCTTCCAGAAGAGACGCAGGAGAAGAAGAAAGCCATGAAAGGTGGTGGTAGAGAGGAGAAGTTGTATGTGTCATGGATACCTCAAAGCTCAACTTTTAGGTTTTTAATACACAAAGAACTTGTTGCCCGAAATGGTAATAATATGTATATGCTGAATTGATGGAAGATTTGGGCTGGTTAGATGAACACAAAATGGAAGAAATCAACAATTTCATATGGAGAAAGAGAAGTTCACATTCATTTGTATATAGAGACAGATTTCGAGAGATCAATTTTGAGAATTTTCTTTGGTTTCAACAAACAAGATAACATTATTATCTTTAACTTAAATATTGTACTCGGCTCAATAATTTTAGAATCTAAGGTAGTAGTACACATTATAAAAGTTAACTATTGATGGAAAGTTCAAGAATTTGCTTGTCAGTAAAAGGCCCGCTTATGTGAGTATATGTAATTTTTTTGGGTTACTCTGCGAAATTAAATACTCCATCTGTCTCAAAATTATTGTTCAGTTTGAGTTTTTATTTTTATTTTTATTTTTTTTGGTGCAAAGGAGGAGGCTTGGAGCCTAGTTACTTCTTAGTAAATTACGGGAGTACGCTACCCGAATTACATCATGTCTACGCCAAAAAGCTATTTCTATAGGAGGTACATTATGTTCTATCATACCCCATTCATTCTGTTCCATCGCCGCCAGAGCATCGGCTGCAAAATTTCCTTCTCTCGGAGTGTGCCAGAGTTGGACTTCCCATGCGCGGTTCAAGAGCTCTCTAATCCCTTGGATCAGCCCCTCATGCATTCCTCCGTGCTTACCCGAATTAGAGATCAGGCGAACCACCGGCTCACTATCCACCTCCGTAACTATTTTCCTCTCTCCTTTGTTTCATGCCACTGATAGTCCATAGAAGTGGCCCCAGAGTTCAGCTCTTGTAATGGTCGTATTACCCAAATTCACCGTGAAACCCGCCTTCAATTGGCCCATATGATCCCGAATTAAGCACCCTGCTCGTGCTGCCCCTGACTCTCTACCGAAGGAACCATCATGTTAAGTTTCACCCATCCCTCCATCTGTGGGATCCAATCACCTAGGTTCTAGATGGTCCTAAGCCCCCTGCGTACTTCTCGGCCTCCATCGCCAATGATATCTCCTCAACTTTCTCTCTAATCAGCATCAGTTGGAGGGCAATTGGGTATTCTGTTTCTCGGAAGACCAGTTCATTCCTCTAGTCCCAAATCTTCCAAAGTGTAATACCAAAGAGACAACTCCAATTCTCACTACCCTGTGGCTCCCTATATAGAAGGTTCACTAGAAGCCAACGATGAAGATCCCCAGTGAAAAATTAGGTCTCTTCAGCAGTCGGCACTAGATTCTCCTACAGTATTCTGGTGATGGGGCAATCTTGAAAGACATGCAGCAAAGTCTCCTCGCCCGTTCTACACCGGGGACATAACAATGAGTCTGACAGGTGGCAGCGGTACCTCTCCGCATTAGTCATGTGTTGACCCTTCGCTGTCAGCCAAAGGAAGGTTCTGACTCTCTCCGGTGCCGGTAAACTCCAGATCGCCTTCCACAATGGTCTAAGGATGTTTTGATTAGTCGGGTTGAGCAACTCATAAGCTGATTTGACGGAGAAGTTTCCATCCTCCGACGGTCCCCAAAGTGGCCGTTCCGGCCCTGTGTCAGGGTCAGGTGGGGGCATCGCCGCCACCCTCCGTAATGCCGCTGGCGGGAGCAAGTTCTCGATAAACTCCAATTCCATACTCCTGGTTGGGTGGTGAAGCAGTTAGCTGTCCACAGCAGCTGGTCTTGAGAAATTGCCCTCAACGCCATTTCCTCCAAAGTCCTTGGTCCCCTGGTCCACTTATCTTTCCAGAAAAGAATGGACTGTCCATTATTCGTGGCCCAACAAGTCCCAGTCTTCAAGGCCAGCCCACTTCTTTTGATTGCTGTGCAAATAGCGGATTGTCCGGTGGACTCTATTCGTTCCGGCCTCTGACCATCAGTTAGCTCATATTTGGCTCTGAATACCTTGGCCCATAAAGTCTCCTTATCCCTCATGAGGTTCCAGTCCAGCTTCATGATAAAGGCTTTATTCATGACCCTCAATTTCTTAATACCAAGCCCACCTCTCTCTTTCGATTTATAGACTTCCTCCCAGCCCACAAGGCTTTGCTTCTGTATGCTCTCATCTCCTCCCCATAGAAACCGACGGCATAATTTTTCTATCTCCTCACAGACTGTTGCCGGCATCAGACTCAATTGCATATGATAGAAAGGCAGCGTGCTTACAACAGAGTTGATAAACGTAAGGCGGCCAGCCAGAGTTAGCGACGACAGTTTTCAACCAGAGAGTGCTTTCCTCACCTTCTCCACCACCCTACCATAAGTCGACCTACTGATTCTACCATGGATTAGTGGGACTCCCAAATACTTCCACAGGTCCCGCACTTCCTAGAATCCCAATTCTTGAGCCACACATCGACGAGTTTCCCATCCCATATTTCCAGAGAAGAAGACCTGTCTTGTGGTTGCTCACTTTCATTCTAGAGGCTTCACAAAATTCTGCTAGAGTTTTCTTCAGTAGTGCCGCTTGACCGTCCGAGGCTTCGGCAAAGAGCAGAATATTGTCTGCAAAAAGTAAATATGGTAGCTTCAGCTCGCTTCTTCCCAGCATCGGTGGCCGCCACTTTCCCGCGTCGACCAACTTTTGAATTGAATGAGCCAATCATTCAATACACACCACAAATAAGTATAGCGAGATTAGGTCGCCTCGGCGGATACCTCTCGTCGGTTTGAATTCCTCTGAACTCGAACCATTCCATTGAACTCTCATTGAGGCTGAGATCACACATTTCATTACCGGATTCACTACCTCCACCAAAATCCACGCCTGCGACAAAGAATCCTCAATAAAGTCCCATCGGATCATGTCATAGGCTTTCTCTAAGTCAAATTTGATGACCATTAATCCCTTTTTTCATGGTCTTGAGCCTCATAGTATGCATTGCTTCCTGTGCGAGAACGATATTGTTGGTTATCTACCTTCCTGGGATAAAACTCACTTGTACTTTCCCTATGATTCGTGGGAGGACCGGCTTAATTCTATTCGCAAGGATTTTGGTTATCAGCTTATAAATCACGTTGCACAGGCTAATTGGCCTGAAGTTCCCTATAGTCTGTGGGTTATCAAGTTTCGGGATGAGGACAATAAGGGTGCTGTTGATGTCAGCCAAACTTCTACTACCGTGGATGACCTCTTTCACCAGGCCACAAACAGAGTCACTCACCACAGCCCACTTCTTTTGGAAGAACACGGCGTGCAAGCCACCAATTCCTGGCGCCTTGATGAGGTGCATTTCCTTCAGGGCTGAACCAATCTCCTCCGATGTCACCTCCCTTCTCATTCGTTCTAACTCTTCCTCTGGCAGTTATGGGAAAGCATTTCTCACCTGGTAGACAATTCACGGCATTGGCTTCGATATATAAATTTTTTTTCAAATACTCTACTGCCATCAGTTCCAGTTGTTTCTGATCGGTGACTACATTTCCCAGATTATCTTGGAGAGCAGGAATCCTCGCCCTTCTTCTCTTCTGCTTGACATAGGAGTGGTAAAAGCGCATATACCGGTCACTGGACAGTGTCCATTTCCTGGACGATTTCTGGATGAGGAGAAGTTCCTCTTGTGCAATGGATTGTGCCAACTCAATTTTTAGACACCTCTTCAGCTCCTGTAGTTTGTGTGAGTGGTACAATTTCGTTGCCTTTTGAATCCCCCCAAGTCGTGCCATTATTCTCTTCTTTCTCTTGAAAATGTTCCCAAAAATCTCCGTATTCCATGCCCCTAATATCTCTCGAAATAACTCCACCGCCTCTTCAAACTTCATTCCTTCCCTCCAAACGTCTCTGTCAAAGGCGTGAAAGCCCTCATGTAGCAGCCAACTTGCAACAAAACGAAAAGGTTTGTTGTGACACCTTCCTACCTGCAACCCCCCACAACAAACAAGAAGGGGGTGGTGGTCCGACAGTACTCGTGGCAGATGATGTGTAAAACGTTGAGGGAAGCATTGAAACCAAGCTTCATTTGCAACAAACCTGTCTAACTTCTGCCACAAATTCCTCCCCACCCAAGTGAACTTGGTCCCAATCGTGTCAAGGTCAGCCATGCCATAGTTCGAGACCCAATCCAACAACAGCTTGCAAGGCCCCTTATGATGCTGGGAGCCACCTTTTCTATCAGATTCGTGTAATATACAGTTTAAATCACCTCCCACCAGCCAAGGAGTCGAGATTGACCTTCCCAACATATTCAATGCCGCCCACAAAAATCGACGAATAGCTATATTTGGACTAGCATAAACAAAAGTTACCAAAAATTCCACCTCCCCCCTTACATACCTTCGTATGAATAAACTACTTATGGCAAGATAGGATCGAGATTCGCAGAGGGTCATTCCACATAAGCCAGATGCCGCCAGAAAACCCAGCTGCTTCCACTCGAAATGATCTATCAAACTTGCTATAACGAATGAAGTCATCAGCTTCCTTGCCGCTTACCCCTGGTTCATACAGAGCCACAACGTCTGTTTGGTGTTGATTAATCATAGAAACAAAGTTCCTGTGAAATTCTTTGCTGCCTGCGTCTTGCGCATTCCAAGACAAGATGTTAATAATCATAAAAATTATTTACAAAGGGGAAAGAACAGAACCTCTAGAAAGAGCTAAGGGCCGTCGATCTGACTACGGTGTCATCCTCCATGTCACATCTGCCATCCATGCCACTCCCGTCGTCGCGATTGCCATCAAAACCTTCCTCATACTCTCACAATCCAAGTCCCTCGGGTCCGAGTTAGGTTGTAGGGGTGGTTTTGGGTCAGGTGTATACTATATGGACACTGCCTGGTGCTTGGTAGGCTCCAGGAGGGACTGGGCTTGGGATATGATAATATTTTGTGGGAAAATAATAAGATCTGTTTGGCTTGGGTGCATTGGTGGGTTACTTTTGGGCTGGTTCTATTTTGGAGCTTCTTTATGGGGTTGGGCTTTGCTAATGGCATGGGTGAGAGGTTCTGGGCTGGAGTGAGTAGAGCACAATGGTGTCTGGGACTTGGATTGGGCTCTGGGCTGAAACTAAGCCCGATTCTTTTTCCTTGCCACTTCCCTTCCTCTGAGTCCATCTCCGATCGAAGTCCTCATGTGGCTTCTGATTTTGTGGGCCTAGATTGCGTTCTGACTCCCTTGGCTCATTCTGTTTGTCGTTTGTACTTCCACCACCTGACTTTTCACTCTCATGCAGCTCTAACATATCATCAGGATCCACTAGGCTTCTCAAAGATTCAAACCTGGACCCACTTCCTTGTACCAAAGAGGAATGTTTTCCATCCTAGGATTTCTCCTTCCCCTGCACATTTCTGTCCCTTCTAGTTTTAGCAAAGACCCATTCACCATACTGTGACTCCTCGTGACTAGTTTCAATCCTCCTTTCCTGTTCACCCGCTGACGCCGGAACAGTCACCGGTTGATCCCTCACCTGTGTGGATGCCACCGTGTTTTGGAAGCCACAATTCGTGGTGCTATGCCCTACACGCCCACAACTCAAGCAAATGAGTCGGAGATATTCATAATGGCTGGGCGAGGTCAATTTCTACCGCCATTCTAGCAAACCTCGCTCTCGTTCTAGCCGCAATCTGGTGATCAATCTGCACAACCTTCCCCAAGATTTGGCCTAGTCCCCTAAGAAAACCTTTATTATAGTAATGTACTGGTAATCCGAGTAGCTGCACCCACACCACCGTCGACTGAATCTTGTGCACATTAGCATCAAATCCATTGTACCATGGCTCCACATGAAGGTAAGCATCAAAAAGGATCCAAGGCCCCCAACACAGTATCTTTATTGGGTCATCTGGGTGCCAAAACTTCACAAGATAGTAACCATTCTGTTGGTCAAGGATGGAGAATCCATTGATGTTTCGCCATAGAGATCTGAGCCGCCTCTTAAAAGCCTCAAAGTTTTTCACTGTCTTCCATATTAGTCGTACCACCAGAACATCCTTTCAAAATCGAGAGAGTAGATCCTCAATTCTATCAGAGGTGATTGTTTTTGGGATTGGCCCCTCTTTGTCAAAAATGATATCTCCATATAGGAAGGGGAAGGGGGAGGAGGTGGAGCAAGTGAGGTATATTGGGTCACCGGCGAGTCATTAAGGGTGGTATTAGGCCCCCTGTATCTGGGCTCCTCAATTTTGCTTTCTTTGTTAATCGATCATCCAAGATCGGAGGGGAGGGGCCTTTAATTTTGGCTAAATCCTCTCCTTGTGTATTCTGATTATGGCCATCGCCAGGGTCAACGTCCATCATTGGGTCCATCATGGTTGGGATTCTGCTGAGAGAGAATTTTAGAGAGAGGGAATTCTAGAGAGAGAACTTGTTGTTGTTATTTTCTTTTTTCAGACTTTTGTTGTTGTCCATGAGTTTTTATTTTTAATTCAAAATTATACTAAATGTGAAATCTCAAACTGGACAATAATTTTGGGACGAATGGAGTACGAATTTAAGTCAAAACATTATACTCCCTCCGCCCGATAAAAAAGTCTACTTTGAGTTTTGAGATTTATACTAAAAAGAGTACAAATTTTAAAATTCAAAATGTTGACTATTTTTTTGGGACGGAGATAATATATATATAAAAAAAGTGTTGTACATGCTACACAGTAAAACCTTGCCTACTTCACGTACTACGCTACCATTACAACATTCATCGAAGTCATTACATAGGAAAATATTTATGAGACAGAATTGTAACGGTTGAATTTTTGACCAATTGTTATGATTCTAATCTTTCCTTTTTAAGACGAAAATTTACTTTTTAAGTGAAAGAAACAAATTACTACAATCCCTTAACCAAAAGATCAACTCATCAAGCCCACAATCCATTCCCCAGCATTTGCGGTAGCTTTATAAAGGATACAGTTCAAAATTTCAAATACTACAAATTGAACTTTCCCGGCAGCGGTTTTAATCAGCGCCTTCTTCCCAGAATTCTACTCACCGGAGATTTCATCCCGTCCGGCCATGGTTCCTCTTCTTGCTTCCTTTTTTATTTTTCTTTTAGAGAGATTTTGTTTTTTTTTTTTTTCGTTTTTTTGGGCTCGCTTGCTGTTGCTTCGTATACTCCGCCGGTCGTTGCCGTTTAATCTTTACTCTGTTTGCGTCTTATTCTGCAGGCAAAAGAAGACGGCGACGAAGCTCGCCGAAGCGAGTTGGAGGAGTCTCTAAACTCCAATCCTGATGACCCGTCTCTTCACTTTCAACTTGTAAGTATCGTTCCGTCCGTTGCATTTTAGGAATATTTTGGGGTTTTCAGTGGAAAACCCTAACCTTGGCATCATCAATTCAATTTGATATCTTCTTTATTAATCATTTCGTCATAAGCATTTGTGGGGACTATAATTGCCTGCTTCATTCTCATTTTAATTTTTTCCTATGTTGGTTTGGTTTTCACTTGTTTGTGTGGGGAGTTTTGTGCAATAACCTTAACCCTAGCTGTGTACTTCAGTTCACTATCCGATTATTCAATCAATCAATCAGCCATGGCATTTAGCACGAAGCTTTACTTTTTTTTATTGATGTTCATGTTCTTGTATCATTGTTTGTGGGATTTCTTTTTTTTTTTTTTGTGGGATTTTTTACAAAACATTACCTAGCTTCATATATATTAATGAAGCGTATGTTTGTTGGCATGCTTTTTGTTTCTTCAGGGTTTGTTATTGTGGGAGAAAGGTGTGGAGGAATCGAAAAGCAAAGCGGCTGAACATTTTGTTATTTCCGCTAAATTGAACCCACAGAATGGAAATGCTTTCCGGTACCTAGGTGATTATTATGCCCAAATTTCCAGGGATTCTCAGAGGGCTCTCAAGTGCTACCAGCGTGCTGTAATTCTCGATCCCGATGACTCGCTTGCCGGCGATTACTTTTGTGACCTGTTGGATCAAGAAGGAAAGATCACCCTACAGTTTTCTGTTTGCTCCGAAGCTGCTGAAAAGTCCCCCAGGGCATTTTGGGCGTCTCGCAGACTGGGATATCTTCTGGTATTGTACTTTTCCATTCTCTTGGCATGTGGTTTATTGTTCCTTTTCCCTTACCCAGCAAATAGACTGGTTAATGATTTTTATTTTTATTTTTTTAAATTTTTTTTATAATATATTTTTTATCAGGTCCATCAGAAGAAATGGTCTGAAGCTGTGCCAAGGCTTCAGCATGCCATCCGGGGCAACCCCACCTGTACCGATCTCTGGGAGGTATTAGTCTTGTTATTCATCTCGATTCACTTTGTTTTGCATCTGCATTAGCCTATATTCTGTTTATCTCAATGTTCAAATAATTTCTAATTTGGTTTTTTTAAATGGCCTCTTACTATTGCAGGTGTTAGGACTTTCCTATCAGCGACTAGGCATGTTTACTGCTGCACTCAAGGTGTCTCTCTCTCTCTTTCCAACACCATCCCAAACCCTGTTTTTCCTGATTATTTTATTTTATTTTATTTTATTTTGCTGGGTGAAACTCCTTACAAATCGGTTCGAGTGTCCGGAGACTGATTCTGTTGCTTTTCTATCAGTCATATGGAAGGGCCATTGAGTTAGAGGAATCAAGAATATTTGCTTTGATTGAAAGTGGAAACGTTTCTTTGATGCTCGGTTGGTTTAGAAAGGTAAAGCTTCTCGGCAGCTCTAGACATTTATGAAAGGTGTACTTTGTAATTTTTTTCCCATGATAGGCCAAAACCAGAGTTACTAATTATCTAGGTTTTGTGTTGGACTAGTATAATTTCTTGTCTTCCAAAGAAACTATTTTGTTGCTATATTTGTTGCATTTCACCTATTGAATGATTTTCTATATATTCTTCTTCTTTTTGTTTCGTTGTTCATTTGCAAGGATTGATTGACCTGTAGAAGTTTTTCCTTTTCTTAATGAAGGGTGCATTTGCTTATTGAGGTTTGGGCTTGTTTTTGTTAAAGTTAATCCAACGATCAGTAATAGGTTCCAGTACTTTCCACAATCAATACTTTTTCATGCCATTTCCTTCATTATCGTAATAAAGTTTTGTTCTCTTGACTTAAAGGCAGTTGAGCATTTCAAGCAGGCTTTGGGGATCTCACCTCAAAATGTCGCGGCAAATTATGGGCTTTCTTCAGCTATATATGGTTTGGCAAAGGAGTGTATAGATTCAGGTGCATATAAATGGGGTGCTTCACTTTTGGAGGTTAGTTTTGCTGACAGTCGAGGAAGCAAATCATGTTCGTTTTGTCACTATCTGTGTCATTTGAAATATGATACTTCCTTTTTGATTTAATTTTATGCAGGAGGCTTCTGAAGTAGTAGCACGAATAATGTCATTAGCTGGTAATGTTTCTGCGATCTGGAAGCTGCATGGTGATATTCAGGTAACTCATTTCTTATGATTCTATTCATTTAATTTATCAGCGATGTAAAATGTATAGTGAAAATGCATAGTGACTGATGTGTACACAATAATTAGGGGTAAAGGTGTAATCTCTGAGGGGAGATAAAATTTCAACAGCAAGGACCAACAAAATGGGGAGGGGGGGGGTATATTTCTAAACATCAGTCACTATTTCACTGTATATTTTTCACTAGACATATCATTTTCCTTTAATTTATCTAGTGGATCTTATATTTTTGTCTGGCGGCAAGTTTGTTGAAGTGTTTCTTATGTTTGCATTTGTGTTGTTTGATGTTTCTGGTAATTAATGATTTAAATGATGTGTATTGCTGTCTTTTCAGCTATTGCATGCGAAATGTTTTTCTTGGGAGGAAGATTCCCTGAGCTTAGATTCTGAGAATAAAGATTTTGATAATTCACTTGCTGCATGGAAAAGGACGTGTTATGTATCTGCTGTGTCTGCATCTCGTTCCTATCAGCGAGCCCTTCATTTAGTTCCGTGGCAGGCTAAGCAATATGCAGATGTTGCTGTTGCATCAAATTTAGTTCTCCATTCAAAAAATAATTCCGGAAAGGACTTCAACTCTTGGTACTTATTTATCAGATTTAAGGTGAAATGAAACAAGTGCCCTTAGTTTATCTTCTAAAGTAAAATCATCTTTATTTCGTAGGTCAATATCTGAGAAAATGTGCTTAGGGGCCTTATTGCTCGAAGGTGACAACTATGATTTCTGGGTTACTTTGGGATGTTTATCACATCATACGGCCTTGAGACAACATGCTCTCATCCGTGGACTTCAATTGGATGTTTCTCTTGCTGTTGCATGGGCGTACCTCGGAAAGGTAATATACTAGAGCTCCATTATTAAGAGAGATTTGTTGCATTAAATAATGTAAACCATGTATCATTCAAGTGCACATGCATAGATAGACAGGTAATCATTGTCTTCTGCAATACCTCGGTGTGGATAAACTACATTTCCTTTTGTGCGCTAGTAATAAAGCATTTCTGTCTTGGCTTAAGGATTTATTATGAGAATTCTATATTCATACATGAGCAAAACTGCCCAAACTGCCCACAAGGCTAAATTAATGGAATCCTGTTTTCGTTTTGATCTAGTAAACGCTATTTTCTACTACAATTTATTGTATGCTTTTCTGGAAAAATGAGAATGCTGAGAAAGATTGAGATTGGATTTCTGTAGCTTAGGCATCAGTTCAGTGCAAATTTTTATTTACTGATTTTTAGGTAGTTATGTGCACTGTTTTATTAGAATAATCAGTCTGTAGTTGGAGAAGGTTGATGGTTGGCACTTGTTATGTCATCTTATAAGTAATTGGTGGATATCAGCTGCCTAATTGTGACTGGGGGAACTGGGAAGCAGAATGCTACTTCTTCATGGTACATCATAGTAACATCTTTTTGGAGGTGGTCTAATTATGGCAATTTCAGCTCTACAGGAAAGAGGGTAGAAGGCAACTGGCTCAGCAAGCATTTGATCGTGCTAGAAGCATAGATCCTTCACTTGCACTACCTTGGGCTGGCATGGCGGCTGATGCTGATGTCAGGTATGCAAGATCCTTCATGGTAGAAAACTAGAAATATGATGTACCACTGGTCTATGCGCCAAATCAATTTTTGCGGGAAGCTTGAATGAAATGTGCCATATTCCCAGGAATCTGAAACCAGATGAGGCATATGAGTGCTGTCTACGTGCGGTGCAGATAATGCCGGTAATTTCCCTCCTTCCCTATTTCTCTCTTTCTTCTTTATATCCTGTTGTTATCCGTAGGTGCACTCAGGGGAAGTGATTTCTCCATTATAAACTAATTTTATATATGCCTGCTTAGTAAGTGCTGCAGTTTGACTAATCTGATCAGTTGAATATTAATTATTCCTCTTCTGTCTTGCAGATTGCTGAGTTTCAAATTGGTCTTGCAAATCTTGCTCTGTATTCTGGTCACCTACCATCTTCAGAGGTAAGATTTTATGTCGAGACAAATATGATTGCCTTGGTTCTAATTTATTATTGAACTGTCTGATTTTAGCCTTGCTACTGTCAGATTCTTGGAGCCATGCAACTGGCCTTGCTGCGTGGACCCCATTATCCCGAATCTCATAATTTGCACGGTTTAGTATGTGAAGCTCGGTCTGATTTTAAGGGTGCCGTTAACTCATTTAGGTTAGCCCAGCATGCAGTGAACTCCGTTTGTGGAGAAGTACCAAAAGTGTATCTGAAACATATTTCGATTAACCTGGCAAGGACACTTTGTAAGGTATAATCAAATATCTTCTTAACTTATTATGAATGATTAGTGCTAGTTCATGATTGGGTTTTGCTTACATTCGGTTTCTTTTTTCTTGTACAGGCCGGGAATCTGGATGAAGCTGTTCAGGAATGTGAACGACTGAAGACAGAAGGTCTGAATTTCCTAATATTCCATTGTAACTGATCACCAAATCTAGAATAGGTAGTTAAATTCTAACTAAATCAAATGTCTGAACCCTCTAAAACAATATTAGATAATTCTGATACTGGTAGTTATTAATATATTAGGATAGCATCAGCAAATGTTATGCTGAAATCAACTATATTAACTTTGTTAACCAATATTCCCTAATATGTGGGTAAAAATGTCTCTATTGAATTGGAATTGAGGTACTACCAATTTCTGAAGAGGGTTGGGTCCATAAATCCTGAAGTGAAATGTTCTCTTACTTCACCCGGAAGTTACATAAAGGCATGGAAGTAAATGAACTTGTGCCATTTGTCATTTTCTTATTTGATGTTACTATTAACTTTTCACCGTTGTGTACTCTCGTTGTTTTTTGTTAATTAGGTCTTCTTGATCTCAAAGGTCAGCAGATATATGCCTTGTCTTTATGGAAACTTGGAAAGAACGATTTAGCTTTATCAGCTATTAGAACTCTTGCTGGGAGCATCTTATCAGTGGAACCTAAGGAGGCTGCCGCTGCTTCTATAGTTTTTATCACCCGATTGACATATCACATCTCCGGACAGCAATCAGCAATAATGAACATTCTGAAAATGCCTAAGGATCTGTTTCAGAGCTCAAAAGTTTGTTTTGTAATATCTGCTATTCATGTTCTGGATCAAAGTAATCAACTTGAGTCACTTGTTTCTCATAGTCGCCGCTCTCTGGTGTCAAATGAAGAGATTACTTCAATGCACTCTCTTATTGCACTTGGTAAAATAGTAAGTCCAAAACAACTTTTCCCAGCATTTGTTTTAAGTCCAATACAATAATTTGTCTAGTTTGATTTTTGAGAATGAGATGCCCGATACTTTCTGTCATACAGGTGAAACCTGCTTTTAAAGCCAGCCCTGGAATTGAAAATGGAATTCATCACCTGAGAAAAGCTCTTCACATGTATCCTAACAGTAGTTTGTTAAGGTAACTGGATAGCAGCTCTTTACGATGAATCATTTGTTCATATTATATGTGTATATATATATATATATATATATATATATATCTATATATATATGTGTTGGGGGCTTCGGTTAGCACAAATTATTTAATTGGAATAAGCCATCTCCATTTAGTATCTGATCTTGGTCGTTGCTTTGATTGTGGTTACCTCCTGAAACTCTTAGTTCTTAATTGTGAATTTATACTTGTCAGTTGTCACTAATTTTTCACGGCACTAGGAAATTAGCATTTCGGTATGCTGATATGTTGTTGGCGAGTATATTGGCGTGGAAAAGAATAATGGTACCATGCCCTCTGAATGTAGAGAATATTTGGTGGTTAGTTGTTATTTATAAGTTATAGGTGTATAGTGGCCATTGTTCTGTGAGTTGATTCTCTATGAGTTGGTCTTAAATCTATCTTGTTAGCTCACTGAAATTAATGCTTGTGCATTTTCATTTATTAGACAAATTCTTTTCTTTTATTTTAATGTCCAAACATCCAAAGTTTTATAATTTTTTCATCTGGAGATATGGGTTGTGTCCATAAGTTTTTTAGTGGTGATATTTTCTTTTGATTAAACTAAGCACTTGTATTTTGATCTTTTCTAACTATTGTCTTTTTTTTTTTTTGTGTGAAATGGTTTTCTAATTACTGCGATTATCATTGTGCTTTATTTTTGGGAAGTTATAGACACTTACTTAAGATGAATGGGGAAAGTGTTTTCGGATTTAGCTACCTTTGCTGCAGATAATGGTTCTTGGTTTCCTTGTTATTGTTGCTGATGATATAATTTGTTCTTGCCAGAAATTTTCTCGGTTATCTGTTACTCTCCTGCAAGGAATGGAATGATGTTCATCTTGCAAGTAGATGTTGTGTAATCGATCATCCCTGCGATCATCCAAAGCTTAATATCCTGGAAAAATCAGCCATTGAGATATTAGGTGCTGGAACTGTTGCTTGTTACACTATCAGAGAAACCAATGACAAACTATTATTCTCAAACTGTGGAGGAGATTATCTTTCTGGAACTTGGACTATCCGGCACCTGCAAAAGTAAATTCTTTTTTACCCTTAAGATTGAGATAGAATACACTATTTGATAAGTTGCCTCAGCTTTAGCTTTAGTTATCCCGATTTTTTTTTTTTTTTATATATTTATTTTTTGGGCGTTTGGATCTACTTAAAATGAGTTCTAACTGGTTCCTCACTTTAAAAACTTCAATGCCTTTTCCTTGATGGGGTCACTGGGGATATTCTTGTTGCTTGTACGCCACTCTAGCTGCAAGGTTATTGAGTGTTCTAAAGCTCTCTGGAACCATGGGTCCGATGTGTCTGAATGTCGCTGTACATGTAGGATATCTGGGAAGCCTTGGGGCTAAAACTTTTTGCCCCTTTATTTTTCCCCCTCTTTAATGTTATAGCCATTTTTATAATAATTTTGGTAAACTGCACCAACTTTCTTTGCTTTGGCTTCTTAAACTTGTAGGTGCCTCCATCAACAACCTTGGAACTATCAAGCAAGATACTTGCTTATACTTAATTATCTGCAGAGGGCACGCATCGAGAGATTTCCTCGTCAACTTTGCTCTATACTCGCAAGACTGATTGCCCCCATTCTCTCTGAGAATCTCAGCATAAGGGAAGAGTACTATGATGAATATCAAAGATTTCAGCTTCTACTTTGTTCTGCAGAAGTTTGTCTACAGCTTGGAGATAATTTGGGATGTGTAAAGCATGCTGCATGTGCTTCCAAATTTTCACTTTCGGATAACCATCTTGCTCATGCTCACTTGTTGCTCTGCCGTGCCTATGCTGCTGAAGACGATTATGCCAATTTAAGCAAAGAGTATAGAAGATGTTTGGATCTCAAATTTGACTGCCACGTCGGTTGGCTATCTCTTAAAATAATTGATTCTCTCTACAAGATACAGACCGACGATACTATTTTAGCAGTTGGGTTCGAGGAGTGTTCTAGAGATGTCAAGAATACATGGCGCATGTGGTTGGCTGTATTTCATTTGGTGCAGGGTCTTGTTGCGATTAAAAGAAATGATTTTCTCAGTGCAGAAGAATTTCTTGCGCAAGCTTGTTCATTTGTGGATAATGAAAGTTGCCTCTTTCTGTGCCATGGTAAAAGTTGATAACCAGAACAATTTGTTTGTATTATCTTGGTGTAGTAGTGGTAGTCGCTATTAACCCTTCCATGTACATATTGTTTTCTCCCCAACAAAAGGCTTATTTTTATGCTGGCACTTTCAAATTGAAGTCTTTTTGTTGAGCAGGTGTAGTTTGTATGGAGCTTGCCAGACAGCTAAGTGATGCCAAGTTCTTGTCGTCTGCTGTCAAAAGTCTCAAGAAAGCCAAAGAAAGCTCTTCTCCTTTACCTATGGTCTCTCTACTCCTTGCCCAGGCTGAAGGAAGCCTTGGCTCTAAAGTAAAATGGGAAAAAAATCTTTCCGACGAATGGTTTTCTTGGCCTCAAGGTTAGTTTCGTTCAGCTCATTTATATCTTTTACTCCTTTGATGGAGGTTGATGTATAAAAAACCATTTAGTTTAGCTTCAATTCAGTTGTGCCACGGTAGAAAAGATGATGGGTCAAGGCCTTGTTCTGTGTGTTTACTTGCTAGCTTTCTGAAGTACTTAAGTCAGTGTCAGTTTGGATTGTTGTTCATGTTTCAACTCACCTTTCGTTAGATTTTAGAGAACAAGGTTGGATTTACTATCCAATTGATATGGTTTCTTCTGGATGTCTCACATTAATTTGTTCTTTTGTTTGTGGGATTTTAGCCTATGCCTGAGTAGATGGAACTCTTTCTACTAGACTGGAGCAAGATCAAATTTGAAACTTCTGTTTCTTTCTTTTTTTGCTTTAATGTTCATCCATCCACCTGTATTTGTTGCAGAGATGATGAAACCTGCGGAACTTTATTTTCAAATGTATTTGGTATCAAGTTCCAACTCTTCATATGCTCTACCGTCATCTTCCCAAAGTTATCTCAAATGGATTCTTCAAGCAATCCATTTGAACCCTTCTGCTTTGAGATATTGGAAGGTTCTTCAGAATGTTACTCGGTAGCGTAATTCTCAGGTATGCATTGCTAGTTCCCCCAACAACACACCCCCAAAAAAAAAAAATAAATAAATAAAAAAAATGCATCACTTATGCAAGAGTGTTATTATGTCTTGCCAGTTCATTTTCTTTTCTGCACTGGCCATCTGAACCCAATTTCATCCTTAAATTGTGTCATGTCGACAGTTATATACATGATGAAGTTGGTTTAACTAATGTTTTTTTAGGGTTTAATTATCAATAAGTCAGACGTGACTAAAATGAGTTAGCAACATAATAGGTCCTGAATTATCATGTTTTTTGAAAATACTGAATTGTCATGTCATTTGAGTATTAGTGTAGTATTTTGGAGTAGATTGTGAATTTATGTTATGCATTCTGATGTTTTTGGATTTTAGGGGTGTTTGGATATGAAATGGAGAAAAGGGCTACTTCTTGAAGCATTTTGACAAGCACAAGGGGAGGAGCAATAACATCACATTCCCGCATGGCCACACAATTCGCCGTCCAAAATTGAGCATTGGAGCAGAAATTCCAGTCCAGCATTCTCGTTTGGGCAAACCAAAGTAGGAATTAAACTGAAAAATTAAGACATTTTAGAGATAAATTACAAATAACTGAAACTAAAGAATCACGAGATTCTTTAGTAATTTCCAGCGGCAGCCCTATTTCCCTTGTAATAGAGAAATCAGAGAGAAAATGAAATGATTTTAAAATGAAACATATGACAAAATTCTAAGTATAAATTTCTCATTTATTCTCACAAAAGAAAATGAGTGCAATTGCCTTTAGGTCTTTTAAATTAAACTTAAATCAAAAGATTTAATATGAGGATACTCACATGCAATCAACATTTAGGATTAGATAAAACAAACCTCCAAAAATTTACTGATTAGAAGGTCATTGTCATGAAAATTTAAGGATGAATACAAGAAAAAATTTAACTGGAGATGTAACATTTTTTATAAAAACGTTGGTGTAAACAATTATTGCTTACGGTTCAAAAGTTAACAATTAAACTAACCATTGCAACTCCATTATTTAGTAGAAAAATCAACAACAAAAATCCAATTATATATTTTTCCGTCTCTCTAAAATCAATGTAAATATCCTTAATTCAAACATCTAATTCATTACCAATTTCTTTTTTTGTTAATTAATTTACGACATATCATCGCTAAACAAATTTTTATTACGTTATGTTATTAATTTATGACATTTATAGTGTTTAATCGCAAAATACGAAACGCTTTTTGAGTTTTACATCACGTCCAATCCTTTTTTTTTTTGTGTGTGTGATAACATTCCATTTTAATACTCATTTTTTTTATTATTTAATGAAGATTATCTATCCCGTGCAACTTGCACGCATGAGTTTAACATCTAGTATAATTAGATGAGAATTCGTTGGGGAGGCTAGATGGGATAGCACGTACGAAGCTGCCAACCCATTTTGGTTTTTTCTCCTGTTTTCTTCGTTATTTTTCTTAGTAAGATTTTGTTTTAGTAGATAATTATTTATTTTTATTCAAGTGTTTCTTCAACCCTTGTCATTCATGTAATTTTGAGATTTATTTTGATTATTTAGAGTAACAAATTTCATCCTAGAGGCTAGAGCGCTAATCAACTTAAATAGAAATTATAAAAACTACTTATTTTATAGAAAATATAGTTTAAAGTGTTACAAAATAAATATGAAAAACTATTGACAAAGAACAATAGAGGGCAGGGAACAAAATGAGAAAGACAAAGAGAGAATTGATCTGTGTATTATCTGTGGAGAATGATATCCTTTTATAAGCAAAAGATACAATGATAAGAACTAATAATGATAAGATCTAACTTAATATTATCTCTATGTATTTGATTTCTTGTATAACTCTTTTGCCTTGTGGACATTCACACCATTAACTATTTATAATACTCCTCCTTGGATGTCCATACCTTGAGATAATGACTCGTTAAAACTTTTACTAGTAAAAACCCAGTGGGACAAAAATCTAATAAAGGAAAAATAGTACATTCCCGAATATGACGCTGCCTCGTTAAAAACCTTGTCAGGAAAATCCATTAGGATAAAACATCGATCAAGGGAAAAAGAGAACAACACGGAGTTGCTCCCTCTGTTGAGTACATCACTTGTAATCTTCTTGCCGCATGTTAAGATGTTGACAATTTTCACCAATGTTGAAATCCATAGTAGATAGATTTGGTACACGGTCACTTCAACTTCTCATACAGACAATGATCTTCATATGCCATATTTAATCTTGAGCGATTCATAATAGCAGAGATCTATAACAATTGCACCCCAAAAGTATCAATGTTTGCAATATTTTCAATCCTTAAATAATTGATATGATAAACTGATACTTTATCAGTATTACAATATGGTACTTCAAGACCAAATCGGTTTATATCCGTATTAGAAGGTCAAAAAAGGATCTATACGCACATCAAAATTTTAGCAAGTGCGCTTAACAGGTGTTAAATGTATATAGATTAAGGTCAAACTTCTAAGACCGAAATTTAACTCAAAATCTTTCATTTTTTTTGCTTCAGGCATGTAACAATTAAACTTAGCAACCCTTTAAACTTCTTTAATTTTGAAGTCTTAATAACTATGATGAACTTTTCAGGAGTTATATTGATTTTGAGCTTATTCAAACTCCATAATAAGTTTTGATAATATTTAGCCTTTGCTAACTCTTCAAGTATTTAGTGTTAACTGGGTTGTAAACACACACATGCGCACACACACACACACACATATATATATATAAATATATATATATATATATATATATATATATTGAATGAACACAAATATTATCATACAAATATGATCATTTAAACATGTAGAAAATCGCAAACAAACAAACATTACATATTTTGATAAAACATGTATATCGAAGAGTGCATAAACCAAACATTCAAAAATATGCACCTAAATATTGTCTAAACACATGAAGACACTAGTACTTGCGCAAGTATTTTGAATTAATCTCGAGAATTGGAACCAAGTTCCTTATTGAATCCTTTTGGGACTTCACATAGACTTCATTATCAAATACCAAGTATCATGTTTCAAGTATCAAATTTCAAGTGATCACTATATTCAATAGACACATTTTTATTTCTTTATTTGCTGCCAGATGTAGCAAATAACGGAAGAATTTTTCTATCCACCACAAGAGAATATACCTCATCATAATTAACATCCAGATTTTGGAAAAACTTGTGCAAGAAGTTGGTTGATTGTTAATATTTTGCACAATCACCCAACAATATTTAGCCGGTATATTACTTATCAAAACTTCTAGTTTTTCAAGTAATTTCATTTTACTTACACATCTTCAGGTGTGTGTAATTGCGTCTTTTCATTTATTATGACTAATAGTTTAATGTCTGTATTCACAACAGACTTCCACTCCATGATCCTCATTTCTATTTATTTTACTAATTGCTGTAGCATAAGCAAACTTTATGTTGATATTTTACTGTCGATCGATTCCATCTTTCTTTAGTATTGAGATCTCACAATCATTAAGTTTCCCAAATACCTATATTCTTCTTCTGGAAGTTTATTTACCGTATTAAAAAATCATTTAATTTTAAAGATTCTTCTGGATATCAATCACTCGTATTTGCCGTCTTGATAGATCTAAACATTCTCATTTACGAGTATTTTTATTATTGAAACCGACGGTTTTACCACTTATCAAATGGATATTAAATTAAACAATAGTGGCAGTTGATCCTTCAGGGATGCAACATCAAAATTTTAAACCTTGATAGCTTTTTACATGTAACATAGTGACATATTCTAGTCATACAAATATCTGGTCTTGAACATTATCTCTTGAACTTCAAGTTCATATTATCGAGGATCTAACGAGATAATGATATCGTCTATTTGATTTATGAATGATGAGAGTCAAATGTACTTCTAAAAAGCATTCTTAATTTGCCTCTCATTTACATATATTTGTAGTATTTAGTTGGGAATTATACGTTTCTAACTATGTTTTATGACTTTTGGTGGTGAAGTACTTGCAATTATGGACAAAAAGTAGGCAAATTGGTAAAGTTTTGGGCACAATTGGAAATGACCCAATTGGACTTGTGTTGCAAATATGAAGAAGGAGGAACCATCAATGAATTGGCTAATTCGTCAAACTGATAGTCAGCCAATCGAGGTTTTTTTTTTTTTTGATAAAAATGTGAATATGTATTACCAAAAAATTCTTCCTGCTGATACACTTTACATGCTATTTTATCTAAGTCACTATTACATCTTGCTAAATTTACAGTCCTATTCTAAACCATTGGTCTATATATATTGCTTCTCACTACTAGAACTTCTGTTACTATATTTCTGTTTCACTCTAATTCCAATAGTCTCTTTGATCACTTCAAGCAGCAGCTCTTCTGTCTTACTTTGCCCTTCAAACAATCGTTTGTTCCTTTCCTCCCATACCATGTATATACTTGCCACATCATACAAAATCTCCTTCTTGATCTTTGTGTTCTTCCAGATGTGCTTTAACTCTTCTCTCCATTTTTCATTCTTGTCATTCAGAGTTTGAATACCCAACCAGTGTTTGATCATTCTGATTAAATTCTCTAAGTAGCCACTCAAAGAATAGATGCTGCAAGGTTTCATCCTCTTGCTGACATAAACAACATTGAGGATTATCAACGTTTAGATGATGTCTGATCAATGTTTCTTTTGTCCATAGTCTGCCTTTCCAGGAAAGCCACGTCATAAACGAGTGTTTTGGGACATTCAGTCTTGCCCAAATCCACTTACTTTCTTCTACTCTCTCATGATTGCCCATAAACTAGTGATAACCTTCTGCCATGCTATATATTCCAGAAGTATTATGTCTCCATTTGGTTCCCTCAAATGCTTCCCTGGCATTGTCTCTAATTTTTAATAAAGTCTTCCATTGCCAACTACTGTCTTGTTTGGCTTGAACTTCCCAGATGCTCTCATTCTGTAA